ACAGTATGGTTTAGTAATTATTTTGTTCTCTTTTAACGAATGCGTACTCGTCGAAGAATAAAGTGTGTGTAACTTTTAAAATAGTTGGACAAAAACTTGATTTTCCCATTTACTACTTTGTCCATTACTTTAAGCTTTACTGTTTATTTAGATTGTAAACGGGGGGAGGGGAAGGGGTGGCTAAGGTTGCTACATCTGAGCTACAAATAACCGGGATATATCTTAAACAAGATACATATATTTTACATTATCAGAATGGAAAACGATACGCCAGCATTGTTTTGAGCGATGTACTGTATTATTATTCTAACTTAAAAAAAACTGAACTTTTAATGCGCTGGGAAGACTTAAGAGATTTTCTCAGCACAGCTACCTCCAAAGAAGAGGACGATCTTGGGAAAACCAGTACAGGTGGCAAACATGTGGGGTGGAACAGTGGTTCGTGTACTGCACTAAACCCCGGCCTGCTGAGTTTCATTCAGAGGTCGCAATCGGGTACCCGATACCCGTACCCTACCCGATACCCGGCTACCCGTACCCGGCCGGGTATGGGTACCCGTTTGCGACCCTGGTGCGGCCGGGTACGGGTAGACCGTGAGTCACTGGTGAGTAACTGTTTGTCACTCATTTCCCAACGTCTTGTCTCTTCTCACAATTCAAGTTCCTAGAATCAACCCACCCGCGCCTGCAACATGGCTTCATCCCATAGGTCGCAATCGGGTACCCGATACCCGTACGGGTACGGCCGGGTTTGCGACCCTGGTGCGGCCGGGTACGGGTAAGGAATCAAAACCCGTTTGCAACCTCTGGTTTCATTCCTGGTCATGGCTTACACCAGTGGCAGGCGATTGCTGAACCGGTTTTTGAGCTTCCACATCACCGACCTGTACTGACCAGCGTGGTGCAGTACGGGCTCACGACCACTCATAACACGTCATGGAAAAGCAGTAGGTTTGACTAAGGACAATGCAGTAAATGATGAGTTATAACTAAAACACAATTAGCCATGGCATTAAATGTAAAATTATTGTCGTTATTTTCCACTTGATAACATGCTGATAGAACACTTTATTTTGAAATTAATAAAAAAATTGCACGTGTTCTCGAAATAGTATTTGAAGTTTGATAACACTTCCGGTGGCTATTGCATCAGCCGATGCTTTCAACTTCACTGCTCCCTACTGGATAGAAAATGCATTGACAGATACAATGCAGAATCGCTCTCTCCACGTCAATATTCACTTTTGTTGTCACTTATGCAAGATATATTTCCAACAAGATGAGAGCCTATCGAAACTAACATTTGCCTTTAAGGAGATATGGTTTACAAAGTTGCTCACAGCCAAAATATAATCTACAGCATGGTCCAGATGTCTTGTGACCCCCCATTAAATTTTTCGAAAACTTAATATTTTTAAAGGTAAGGTTTACTTATAACGAAAATGAATATGCGAATGAAAAACATTAGGTATTAATTAATTGGGGGTCACACCACATCTAGACCACCCTGTACATTGCCTGTTAATACCCAATACAACAACCACCACGTCTCACTTATATTCTCACTCTCCCCCTCTTATACCAGAACTAAAGTAAAAAAATGTTTCGATTTAAAGCTTTCGTGACTGCAGGGATTCATCTTCTTGGTTCTTTCGGTAAAGTCACGTAGAAGGGAAGTAATAAAATAATAAAAATAAAACATAATAAAACAATTCTCACGACGTTTCGGCCACAACGCAAGCAGCCGTCCTCAGGTGAAAACCAGGTCCGTCGAGGCGACAGAGTCTGAATGAAACAGCACACGGGCTTGGAGCATATATATAAGCTGGGCGCATTGACAAAGGAATTTGCATATCAACAGGAATTTAGCATATTTATGGGAAATGCAGGAATGTAATTAGTACTGCATATGCATGTGCATTATGCAGGATTAACAGCATCAAAGGGAGCTGTAGTTACTGCTGCTGCAGTAGTTGCTGCTGCTGCTGCAGTTTCTGCTGCTGCTGCACTTGCTGCTGCTGCTGCAGTTTCTGCTGCTGCTGCACTTGCTGCTGCTGCTGCACTTGCTGCTGCTGCTGCACTTGCTGCTGCTGCTGCACTTGCTGCTGCAGTTGCTGCCTTATCCATTTTAATATAACACTATGTATTATTCTACCCACCCTAATGTGTATCATACTGCTATATGTTTACTGTACAATTACGACACCATACATTACTCTGCACAATGCACCATGCCAGTGAGTGGAACGCGGTCTGAAAGTCACCGTTAACGTGAACACAATCAGTTAAGATCCGAAATGGTTTATTACGTCCTTCCAATGATTGCTAAGCCAGAATCCATCTTCTCGGTTGAACCATTTCGGATCTTAACTGATTGTGTTCACGTTAACGGTGACTTTCAGACCGCGTTCCACTCACTGGCATGGTGCAGTGTGCAGAGTAATGTATGGTGTCGTAATTGTACAGTAAACATATAGCAGTATGATACACATTAGGGTGGGTAGAATAATACATAGTGTTATATTAAAATGGATAAGGCAGCAACTGCAGCAGCAGCAGCAAGTGCAGCAGCAGCAGCAAGTGCAGCAGCAGCAGCAAGTGCAGCAGCAGCAGCAAGTGCAGCAGCAGCAGCAAGTGCAGCAGCAGCAGCAAGTGCAGCAGCAGCAGCAAGTGCAGCAGCAGCAGCAACTGCAGCAGCAGCTAAAACTGCAGCAGCAGCAGCAGCAACTACTGCAGCAGCAGTAACTACAGCTCCCTTTGATGCTGTTAATCCTGCATAATGCACATGCATATGCAGTACTAATTACATTCCTGCATTTCCCATAAATATGCTAAATTCCTGTTGATATGCAAATTCCTTTGTCAATGCGCCCAGCTTATATATATGCTCCAAGCCCGTGTGCTGTTTCATTCAGACTCTGTCGCCTCGACGGACCTGGTTTTCACCTGAGGACGGCTGCTTGCGTTGTGGCCGAAACGTCGTGAGAATTGTTTTATTATGTTTTATTTTTATTATTGTATTACTTCCCTTCTACGTGACTTTACCGAAAGAACCAAGAAGAAAAAAATGTTTGTTTATTTTACCAGGTAAAGTTCACTGAACTATATAGCTCTTTTTTCAGAAGCGACCTGGCCACTAATTATAGCTTAACAAAGTGGCTTATCACGTGGAACTGTATAGCAGCCAAACACTCTAAACGCAAAAATGTGGAGGGGAAAACCTCAGGACCCGGAGAAAAATCCACACAACCAGGGGGAAAACATGCAGATTCCAACCGTACAACAGGCGTTGTCAGGGTTCGGGATCGAACACAAGACCTCCTGTATATCAGGCGAGGTAGTTAACATCTCACCACCGTGGTAACCTAAGCTATCCAGTATAGCTCTTTTTTCAGAAGCGATACATAAAGACTTATATAGATACATAGATACCCATTAGATTCATATAGACCCAGCCTTACAAGAACACCCATAGAGATATTAATTCCAAGCAATGGTAGAGAAATTGTGGCCATGCATTCCATACTATATGAACCTTGTAGGTAAACCAGATGTAGTTTGGCGCCCCTTCAACTGAGGAACAGCGAAACGACTTGAACTTCAAGTCTAGAACTGTGAAACAAGAATGGAAACAGTAACACACTAAACTGTAAACTAATTTATTTTACCAGGTAAGGCCCACTGAACCATATAGTTATTTTTTTTTAGAAGCGACCTGGCCACAAATGATAGCTCAACGAAGTGGCTTATCGCGTGAAATTTCTATTTTTTAGCAGCCAAATACTCTAAACGCATGATTCTAAACGTGGAGGGGAAAACCACCCAACCACGTGGAGAGAGACATGAAAACTCCAAATATACAGCAAGAATCTTCAGTATCAGGATCAAACCCAGGACCTCCTGTATACCAGGCGAGGTAGTTAACATCTCCTAGCCACCGTGATGATGATGAGAGAGAGAGACACGCAAACTCCAAATACACAGCAAGAATCTTCAGTTATTGGGATCAAACCCACGACCTCCTGTATACCAGGCGAGGTAGTTAACATCTCCTAGCCACCGTGATGATGATGAGAGAGAGAGACACGCAAACTCCAAATATACAGCAAGAATCTTCAGTTATTGGGATCAAACCCACGACCTCCTGTGTATCAGGCGAGGTTGTTAACATCTCCTAGCCACCGTGATGATGATGAGAGAGAAACACGCAAACTCCAAATATACAGCAAGAATCTTCAGTTATTGGGATCAAACCCAGGACCTCCTGTATACCAGGCGAGGTAGTTAGCATCTCCTAGCCACCGTGATGATGATGAGAGAGACACGCAAACTCCAAATATACAGCAAGAATCTTCAGTTATTGGGATCAAACCCACGACCTCCTGTATACCAGGCGAAGTAGTTAGCATCTCCTAGCCACCGTGATGATGATGAGAGAGAGAGAGAGACACGCAAACTCCAAATACACAGCAAGAATCTTCAGTTATTGGGATCAAACCCAGGACATCCTGTATACCAGGCGAGGTAGTTAGCATCTCCTAGCCACCGTGATGATGATGATGAGAGAGAGACACGCAAACTCCAAATATACAGCGAGAATCGTCAGTATCGGGATCAAACCCATGACCTCCTGTATTATATTATTTTATTATGTTTTATTTTTATTATTTTATTATTTCCCTTCTAACGTAACTTTACCGAAAGAACCAAGAAGATGAATCCCTGCAGTCACGAAAGAAGCTTTAAATCGAAATTTCAGGCGAAGTAGTTAACATCTCATAGCCACCGTGATGATGATGATGTAAGAGAGAAAAAAATACATAGCAAGCGGCTAAACGCGATCGTTCGTTTTTTGTTGTTACTAATTAAAGTTAACGTATAATTAAAGTAGTGCAGAGGGGTTACTATTGGGGGCGGTGGGTGGGTGGGGGGTGGGGGGTTGTACTTAGTGACGTCACGTGGGTCTGCCCCTATAGAACGCCGCTCTATCCAGTCAGGCAGAGGGCGTTCGGCTGAGGTCGTGTCTACACACACGCGGTCCCTTCTCTGTTACATCGCGTGTGCAATACGCCCACCAAGTCGCTTTCTAGCGTCTTCATATCATATGCACTCTCTTCTCAAAGTGTGCTGTTAGCGCGCCCGCGAAAAGGGACGAATATCCATCACCCCCCCCCCATCGGCAAAGCCCCGCGTCTGCGTTCCTAAAGTTGCCGACCCCTGAGGTAAGGAGTTTCGAAGAGGTTGTTGAGCAATTTATTTCGTAATTAAATTGCCTTTATTTTGAGAGTTCGCCCCCGAAAAATTTGTTGTGGAACTGTACGGTAAAATCGGGCTATTTAATAAGAGTTTCGATTAATCGATTGACTAATCGCGCGGCGCTTTATTTGGCGGGAAAAGTTTCGATTATTGGTAAGAGGTTACGGAGAGCGGTGGCGCTACGCTTAGCGCGGCCACCAACACCGCCGACGATTATAAATTAACTAAATCGTGGACTTTCCCGTGGGTCGACTCGGCCTCAAATGAGTTGCCGGTTCGGTGCGTGTCTAGACCATCGGCACTGGGGAGACAAAGGCGGCCGGGCGTGGTTCTGCCCCCCCTGTTGTTCCGTGTCGGCCTTAATAGGCGCTCGCTAACCACACCACCAAAAAGTCTGTTGAGGCTTAAAGTCTTTTTTTTGGTGTTCAGCGCTCTCGTAGGAGGAAATCAATGGGAGGGCCGCCGCCACATGGCCGTGGCTGATGCAATCCCTTGCCGTAGTTGCAGGCGACACGCGCACGCTCGCACGCATGGGCGCGGTAACCAGGCCGCCCTTGACGTTGATACTGAAACGTCAACAAACCCCCACCACAACCACCAACAACAACAACAACCACCAACAACCACCACCAACAACCACCACCACCAACAACAACCACCAACTACCACCACCAACCATAACCACCACCACCAACCAACATCCACCAACAACCACCAACAACTACCACCACCACCATAACAACCACCACAACCACCACCAACATCAACTACCACCACCATAACCACCACCAACATCAACAACCACCAACTACCACCACAACCATAACCACCAACACCAACAACTACCACCACCACCAACTACCACCACCAACCATAACCACCACCAACCACCACCACCAACCAACCACCACCAACTACAACCAACACCAACTACCACCACCAACCACCGCCGCCTTTTAAAATTAAACGTTGGATATTTGACGCCCTTAAAGCGATCTTTGTTAAATGTGGCCACGCACACGAGCGCAAGGGGTGGTTACAATGTCGGTGAATACGACGCGACTCTACTTATTATATTTTGTGTGTAATTGTAAAGTGAAGAAAAGGTAAGAATGCGGTCAGGCGAGAATTCTTTAATCTTGTAGTATTGGGAGTGTTAGCGTCCTTTTGCTACATTTCAAACGCAACCAGTGTTCATCTTATTGGTTCTTTCGGTAAAGTCACGTCTCCCCGACAGACCTGGTCTTCACCTGAGGACGGCTGCTTGCGTTGTGGCCGAAACGTCGTGAGAATTATTTTATTATGTTTTATTTTTATTATTTTATTACTTCCCTTCTACGTGACTTTACCGAAAAAACCAAGAAGATGAATCCCTGCAGTCACGAAAGCTTTAAATCGAAATGCAACCAGTGTTGTTTGTGAATGTATAAATTGGCACGATTTTAAATGTTAACCAGGTTCATGGTAAAGGTGCAGTCCTGCAATTGCTTGAGGGTATTTTGGCCCTCTCTTCCATTACTCACCAGGCGTCTATTATTTTACATGGGTTTAGGAATATTGTGGCGTTACTTATGATTACTTTGTTTCTCACCTTTTAGGTAACGTAGACCTCTTTTATTTAATTTAATGTTCTGTGCAATACAAGTACTTGATTTGTAATTGACAGCTATCATTGGCAACTTTGCATCAACTTTGTGTATATTCACGGAGAACTTATTTGGGCTTATTTTCAGACAGTTTAAAGCCATAAATGACAGTAATGCACACACGTCACATTTATTAAATTTAAACAATGGCTCATTTACTGATATCTCTTATCACTGCTTTAAACAAAATTCTTGTTGAGACTCGTCATGCAGAATCATGACTCAAGCCACGGGCGCGTCAGTTTTCGCTGACCTGTGATTTTGTTGATAATGAGCTGTTCACATTAAGCGAGTTAGGCATAACTTGGATATTTTTTCTTCGGTGTGTTACACAATGTCATGGATTGTTTTGACAGTGCCTAAAATACTCTGGTATTTTTGTAGTCCATTGACCGCAAATGTAAGACCCCCCCTCCCCTTCCACTCGTGGAAACTTTCATGAGAGTATGATTTGGGGTAATATAAAAACGGACTAAAAATCTGACAACTTTATTCTCCAAACCCATGATTACAGTCACGTATAAGTGAACACGTGTTGTACTGTACATGAACAAGAGGTTAATCTGAGCGAAGTTGAGCTACTTTACATGCAGCCCACCGCCAATGTCATTAAAGTTGAATTTCTTCGACCTCCAACAGCGCAACATTCTCTTGAAATAAATCGACATCCCCGAAAGGAGAAGTGAACGTCATTTAAATATATACTTTCGAAGTTTTTTTTGGCGGAATTCTGAAACAAGAGATTCTTTTGGAGAAGATGTCCGGAGAGATGGAACTTGGGAACCACGTTAGAATTCCAAATGGCAGCGATAGCGACAGCAGCGATGGGATCGGCGAGCCACGGATAATCGACTCCGAAAACGTAACCATCGCAACTGCGAGGTAAGAACACACAACCTTGCGTGCCTGGGCATTGACACAATGTGCAAACTGCCCTATTGGGTATGTAACATCGCAATATATTTGCTATAAGTTAGTCCGCATGTACACCTGGCAATTGAACCCACAAGCTGCAGGTGTGGCTGAATGTGTTCTGTCATTGTGTTTTGTGATGTTACGTTTTTATTTGCCTCTTGCAGCCAGTATGATGACCAGGCTGATACAGAACGAGAGAATTTCATCCACCATGATGGAAAGGTGCATTCAAAGAAGCACCAGGTGAGATTCAAGTCCTAGAACGAGTCTAAAAAAACCCCATAAAATTTGTGTTCATACATAGCAATCCTCTGTACGTCTACATGTTTTTCAGGAGGGTGTTGCTTTGGAATGCTTGGCCATCTCCTTGGAATATTTTCTTTAGACTGTACATGAGAGGGAACCAGAGTGCCTGGTAAAACTCACACGGATTTGGCAAAAAGCCGGCTTGCTCTACTGCTTCCTTAAGACGTGTCATTGCTCAGCACGTAGCTGTTGCAAAATTAATGTCACAATGTGTGATTTACCAACGCTGCCTGATTCTTGAAAGATTTACGCTCACTCTGAGCGTTACTGTTCCTTTGTAAATTATTTTCACTACCACGTGGCACATTTTTTGGCTGTGAAAATAAAGCGAAAGTGAAAATAGCTCGTTGAGCCGAGTAGATTGAGTGTGTACTATTATTTGCACTGCTAATGAATGTGACATGTTGCTTGAAGGCTAATTTTAGTTCGGTCAAGTTGGGGGTGTTGCTAATAATTTCCACGTGATTCTTTGTTACATTGTCTGAATCTATTAATGTGTGTCTCTATATCCTGCCATCATGGTGAACTGTGCACGTGGCATTTATATTTAAACGGTTGAAGCTTGTTGCTTTGCATTAGCATTGTAATGTAAAACAGCATAGTTAGTTATGCAATTCAAATACATTGGAAGTGTAATTTCTATTCTGTGTTGTCCATTTAGGTCCATGAAGGCAAGACATCATATGGCATGTCAATTTTCAACTTGAGTAATGCCATTATGGGCAGTGGCATTTTGGGATTGTCATATGCCATGGCCAATACTGGAATCATTTTATTTGTGTGAGTAGCAGATGTCTGTGTTTGTACAACAAAGCCTAATTTGTGATCTGCACTATTTATGAGCACGCCCATTAACGTGTCAAAGTTTTGTATTATACATTCACTGATGCGGATTTGGCCCACATAATTAATGTACGGCATGGGATGCAATTGGCATGAATGATGCGGTATAAAATTAATATTTTGTATGCATATTGTAAATAATGGACGAAGAATACAGGGGTACGTGGCCATTTTTTGTACAGTAAATTCAAGCGTCGTTTGTTAAGCGCATCTCATAACCATGCCAACAAGGGAAACAACCCCCATAATTTGTATAGCCAAAAATTATTCTTGGCTCAAAGTCTTTTGCTTTTAAGTGACCGAAGCGGTTGTATGTGTTTTTTATTTCTCTAGGGCATCTTGGCAAAACTTCGGTTTCCCCCCCTTCTAACACACTGCAAAAAATACCATGCACCTCCCTCGCATCACCCCCCTCGCCACGCTCTTCCTTCGCACCCCACCCACAAATTCGGCTTCCTGACACGTCGACAGGCAAGAATCGAAGCAAGACTTTAAAGCCCAGATGTAACATATTATAATTATTTTTTTAAAGTGAAAAAATAGACACTGCGATTTCAAAGCTCCACCAATAGTTTGATTTGGCCCTTGTTTCTTTAATTTCCTTTTTAGGCAGCACCATGAAACACACACAATGCGAAGTCCTGAAAAAAATGAACAATTTATAGTAGAAGGGCACTTGTTAGAGACAAAGTTCATGCTGTATTTACCTTTGCAACTATTGGATAGCTTTAAATATGTACATTGTACAGGCAGTGACCTGTTTTAAACTTGGGGGGAAAATCATTACAGAGCTAGTGTGGAGAGCATGACCTTAGGTAAATATATAGATTTTTTTTCCACCACCTTCTTCAGGATGCAATGCCTTTAATCGTTACACAAGCAGCTATCGTGAAATGTCTTTGACTATTTGTAGAAACATCTTTCGCAATCCAAAAACTGTGCGTGGGAAAGACCACAGCTGCGTCAGATGTTGAGAGTAAATTGCTAGCCGGGCGGTGGTGACTGCATCCACCAAACCTGTGAAGACGAGGTTTGGTGGATGGCACAAATGTTTGTGGAACTCCTTTCCCCGTGGACATCAAGGTGTGATGCCCTGACTTGCCACGAGAAGGCAGGACAGCAAAAATGTGGACTCCACTTGTTCCATCTGGATGGTATAGTGTTTCCCCCTCGCACCCGTGGGTTTTCTCCGGTGGTCTGGTTTCCTCCCATATGTAAACATTTATTATTTGGCCAATAACACCTTAATATATCGAGGATCACAGAGCTTGAGCAATTGTTAGTGCTAGGCAAATTGTGCGGCTGCCTTCCTGCTTGTTTGTGGTTCCTCACACCTCTTTTGAGCCATTCACTACAGGAGTGTGTGAAGGCTGTGTGCAAATTAATATTATTTTAAACATACTTTAAAGGAATCCTTGGGTTCGTTGACTCGTGTCCTGAGAGGCCCACGATGGGGGGGCGTTCATTTTCAATGTCCCTTCAAAATTCACATTCCTGTCGAGGGTGTAAATTCGACCAAGCTTGTTACAGTGCATAGGTAGAGGCAAGGTTATCACGTGCAGCCTCGTTTGGCTGGAATTTTAAGATTATTTGGATAAACTTAGTGACTTGTGCATATACTGATTTCACTTTCCACAGCTCCAATGCACAAACGAAGCCAGTGCTACACATTCCAAGTACATTACTGCACAGTTCCCAAGATGACATGTTAGGTTCCTTTTCAAAGCAACTATTATGAGGGCCATTGGATATCTTGGCACACTAGAAGTCAAAATCTGTGTTCATTACCAAGTTTGGCATATTTGGTATTCCTTAAAAAATGCTGCTTCTGTTGAGTAATGTCTGTGTGCGTGTTTACGTTTGGGTTCCTTCTAACTTTGCCTTTTTTGTCTGCGAGCCTGTAACCGAACTGGGGGTGTGACTTCATAAACCCTTGAAGTAATTATAAATGGGTAATGTAGGCATATTATAGTTTAGGTAAATGCGAGTGCCTGTTTTTTTGGTTTGGAATCTGGCCACGTTCCGCTGCTTAATCTGCATGCTCAGTGGCTCCTTAACGATGCCGTGGCAGTAGGGGCCCACAACAGGGAAAACTTTTACCATACGAGTGGAAAATCTGACCTATCCCAACTGCAGCAAGTGTAGCGAGCCCGAATTTTGAGTTCTGTCACGACTAGGTGGCATTTTATTGCAGATATGCTGACCAATTAACCATTTAAGGCTGCTGCGGATTAGAGCACTTAATTCTTTGGAATGTTTTGTTTTGCATGTGGCGTCAAGTGTTTATAAAACAGCTTGGAAGAAATTACCGAGTTGTGTTTTCAAGTAGCTTTCTGGCTCGGAGACTTAGCATTGTGTTGTACAGAAAATTACTGAAGTGGCCATAAGTCTGAACGTGGCAGACTCTGTAATAGTCTGATGTTAAAACGCCAAACTGAAACCTTTTACAAGGAATTGTGTCTGCATTGTTCCTCGTAAAAGGTTTTAACACCTGTTTTGTTGCCAGAAAAAGGGGAAAACCTATTGTAATATTTTGGTACTGGCAAAGTCTTTTAAATATGTAACATTTTTGTTGAGCTCATCAAGAGCCTAACTTTAACACAGTAATGTGGATGTGTGTTTTTAAATGTTCAAGGATTTTTTTTACGGGAGCTTTTGTGTGTCCAGTTTGGTCAGTGCCAAATGAGTAAGATGAAAATTCCCATGTACATTTAACAGACCTTATCACATCTTGGCATGACCATTATAAAAACCCCCAATCAATTTGTTTCATCCCACAGGCATTTGCTTTTTAGCCTCACACTTGGGTTACATATACACGTTAAAATGGAGTACGTGTGTGTGTGGTGCACCCTACTAATTAACGTTGCCTTTTGGTGTGTGTTTGCCTACAGAGTTTTACTATTCGCAGTTGCTGTGATGTCCTGCTACTCTGTACATCTGCTGCTGGAAACGTCACATTCGGCAGGTGCGTGGTCTGGGAACAGACTTTCTGCTTTTTATTACACTAGTTGTATAAACTAAACGATTTTTTATTTTACCAGGTAAGGCCCATTGAGCTATATAGCTCTTTCAGAAGCAACCCGGACAGAAATGATAGCTCGATGAAGTGCTTTATCACGTGGAAATGGATAGCAGCCAAATACTCTAAATGCGTGTTTCTAAATGTGGAGGGGAAAAACCGGAGGTCCGGGAGAAAAATCCACGCAACCATGGGGAAAACATGCAGACTCCAAATATCCAGGCATCGGGATCGAACGCACGACCTCCTGTATACCAGGCGAGGAAGTTAATAGTTTAAGTTAATACTAAAGACTCTTGTGGACATTATTTTATGACAGTTCAATTTAAATGTGTACTTGGCCATTCTTAAACTGATCTCAGTAGTTTATTTCAACTTTGTTAAATTCCTGCCTATCTTTTCTTACGCTTATTTTTTTCTTCAATTTTCTACCACTGCTCGAAATTTTCTTAAGATTTGGAGAATTCAGACGCTGTGTTCGATCCACTCCCACTTTAGCAGTGGATCTTGTGGCCACAAACAACACGGACAAGCACACTGTTCTCAAGACCCCCGTGAAGCTTGTAGCGTCTCAATTAGCCCCCTTGAGCTTCCATTTGTGTTTTCCTGGAGTGTACTCTTACTGCACAGACTGTCCTCTCAAAGTTGATTACTTCCCATTAAGTACATCCTCCATGTTTTGGGGGCTATTGGTGCCTGATAAGGCCAAGGTGGTATGCAACATGCGAACACTTACAGCTAGCCGATTTAATTTTCTCCTCATCGGCACCCGGGATTAAAACTAGCTTGTTGATGTAATTACAGAAGCTGTAGATTTACAGTTCAATTTGTACTTGTTTTATTGAAGTAGGTTTATATTGAAAATAAGATGCTTTCTTTCTTGACGGGCGCTCACCTGGTGAGAATTTTCATGAACGAGCATAATTGTGTACATTTGGTATGTATATCGCTGGGTTTTAATTTGTAGTGCGATCATAAACATTGCACGTCCCATTTGGAAAGCAAAACTCTGTACGCGGCTACCGATGCCATTCAAAGCGCATGACTGCAAACATCGTCTTCGGGTTAGAATTTTCCACATTACTGCCACACGTCCCTTGTAAAGCCTGAAGTCCCAGTGACTTGGCTGCTTCACGTTGACATCTGCTATTGATTTCTTCTCTCACTGGTATGGTTTTTGGGGTGAAGTGCACTTCGATGTATGTGGGGGAGTCGGGTGGGGTGCCAAAAAGTTAACACAAGTAATGAAAGTTAAGGGTTTTGTCCATGGATATAGAGAAGTTTGGTGACCAATTTTTAATGAAAATATGACGTCTCTGCTTCACACGTGTTTTTGTTATAGGTACAAAGTCGTACGAGCAATTGGGATTTCTGGCGTACAAGCATGTAGGAAAGATTGCAGCAGCTGCGGCAATCATGTTGCAGAACATTGGTGGTGAGTAGATCCATTACATGTAAAGCGCTTTAAAATGCTGCCCTTGGTGGCAGGCATGCACAGTGGGCTTTTCCAGAGTTATTGGCAAATTTCTTATACAAATAATTCTGAAAATTATAGTTTTTTTTTTATATGCAACTCACTGGACATGTTCTGTTCTACAGCATTTATCCGAATGATATGCACGCTCCACGCTTTGGCTACAAAGGTCGTTAAGAAGCTGAGCAACTCATTTTTTTCTTCTTCCACAGCTATGTCAAGCTACCTCTACATCATAAAGTACGAGATGCCGGAAGTTTTAAAATCGCTGATAAATGCACCAGTGGAAGAACAAAGCACAATGTACGTCATCATGCAGTGTCATGGCGAATGTGTGTGATAATAATTTGAATGATTCAAAGGGTCGCACAGATGTTTACATTTGTTACCGGAGTGCGAACAAACTGAATATTTCAAGTGACGGGTCTGGTTTGGCTGGTTGGCCAAAATTATTGGGTTGTATTTCACCGTGCAATGTTTTGAAAACATTGTGAAAATTACCTGCAATATAAACCAGTAGATGAAAGTTCATTGTATCCATCTTCTTTGAGAAATACCGTGTCATTGCGAAATGTGAAGTAATTTGGTAAATAAGAAATCCCCTCCAGGAAAGCCCACTCAGTCTTGTAACTGCAGCATGTAGTAACGTACGATAAGTAAGTGAATTTCTACAGCAAGTGGTAGTATGGTGTGTCCTTAACTCCATTGTATTAAACTGAAGCATAGGAAGTTGACAGTAGATGTCCTATGGAAACACTGGACACTGCCATGGGAATCTGTAACCGTGCTTGCTCTAGCAGAAAGACTCATCAGACCTTATTCAATAACCACCTTCATGGACACAGTGATGCTGCTTTTAGCCACGATGATGGTAGTTGTGTGTGCACACTAGTATCGACAAGTGTACACAACAGCAGCACGTGGTGTCACCTTTGTGCTTGGTCTTGTTGGATCTGAGCCTCAGCTGGATTGGGCTTGGTCTGAGCATTGATCCTGAGAATTCTGGTCGGTGCAGGAAATAGTGGTAAATAAACTCCTTATAAAAAGTTTTTTCAAAACAACGGTTTTATTAACAACTTCGTGTAACTCACGGTCTAGAAGTACGTCATTGATGCGGCACCTGCTCCCACATCAACGCTTACTAGAATTAATTAGTTCCATAACTCGTTCACATGGAGCAGGCACGCCTGAGACACATGGCGCTTGCTTCTTTGGTGTGGCGAATCGAAAGTTTAGGGACCGCGGCGTTTTTTCCCTTCACAAAAAAATATAAATAATAAGGCGTCCATAAAAAATGGCAATTGCTTTAAAGTAGCGATTTTATTGATCAATTGATGCCGATTTTGATTCAGGCATGTATTGTCACCGGATCTGAGTACGTGTGCAAAATGTGGAATTGATTGGACAACAGGAAGTAGACTAACTTTTGATTACAAGATTTGACCACGACACAGGAATCAAGTTAAGTAAAACCGTTGAAAAATGAGAACGTTCGACTATAACTTGGTAAACTTAACGAAGACACTGGGCCAGATGGTCTCCCAGGTCTAGTCTTACAAGACCATGGGCTCTACTCAAACCTCTGCCAGACCCTGTCAGACTCTGTAAAGAAGGTCATGCTACCTCTCTAAATGAAGAAAGCAAAAATAACACTGGTCCACAAGTGAGGTGCAGATCTGACAAGATAGAGGCTATATGCCGATCTCGCTGTTGAACGCCGACCATAACATCTTTACTAAAGCTCAATCACCTAAACTTTTTGACTTCACAACCTCCTCCAAAGGGGATCATAAAAGTGAGAGAGGCATTTCCTGGTCACCAATCGACGCAATCGTATGCAGTAATCCTTGATGGAAAACATGCGTTCGATAGGGTAGAGTGGGCCTTCCTGCTTGTCACCATTCAAGAAATTAAATGTCCAGATCAGTTTTTATCAACCTAGGACGTTCTTCAACAAATGAGGAGAGATAAGAGATGTGAAAAAAGTCCCTCCACGTCCTACAGCCCCGTTGAGAGAGATACATTACAAATCCCTTCATAGATATTATCTTAACGAATGGTAGATGGTGTTGTCTACAACATCTAATTGTCCCGGGTACCCAACTAAGATGGAACGAGAGGTAATGTTTTGTCTGTATGGGAGCCGTCTTAGTTCCCCTCCTAGAGAGATCTCAGACTATCTTCCAAAAATGGTTTCCTGGCAACCTCCTCCCTGCCCCCCCCCCCCCCTGTCATCCTCTATTTCCCCCCCCACGTAGTTAATAATAGGTTAAATACTTAAATTTAATCATAGGTTCAATGGATAAAAGGGTAATACTGTAATAGTTTCAACGGATGGCCTCAATATCATTTTATTGACTTGCTTCATTTTCTTTGTCGTGTTCACAATGGACATGCTCCCTCCTATCACCCGTTTTCTATATACATTTAAACTGATGACACAATTTGTTTGAATGGATGATTTTGTATTTGTTTGTCTTCCTCCTGTTGTCCCCTTGGGTGTATGCTGTGCAATTGTGTGTTAGAAGATATTGCTTTGGGGAAAAAGGAGAGTGTTCTTCCTTTTGGGCCAGAGCATCATAGTCTTTGAGGCCACGGTCATGCGTCACAGTTTTGTTTGTTGTTGACACAAGAGTGCCATGACGTGCTTTGACTAAACAAACGTTGGTACCAACTTTTTTGTACGGCGAGGATTCTATCGCCACGTTTATCTGTTTGTTGAATGTTCCTTGTTTCTCGGTAAACCGAGTGTCATCCCATAAGGAAAAAAAAAATACATTCCAAGTGTCACACTTAAATATATTTGTTAATATCATTCAATAACAGCAGCATTTTCCTGATGTCTTGTTCTATGTTTTTTTTCCCCTGCAGTGTACAGTATTTGTTGAATGGAAACGTACTGGTGATAATCGTTGGATTTCTGGTTATCCTTCCCTTGTGTTCACTTAAAAACATAGGTGAGTGCTACTGCTTGTTTGTGTGTAAAGGTATATTTTTTGCATTTATGGAAGACGATACAATATTGAAAATTGTAAAAATGTTAACTCTAAAGCTTGCTTGAGGAATACACATTTATTGCAGAATTTAGACATTACTACACACTTTTTTGTACCGGGTGGAGTGGGTGGTGCAGTAAAATGCACCAAAAATCTGGTGACCCTGAGCTTGATGTCCAACTCCAGCTACCTCAGGGTGGCGAAGTGATATCTGAAACGGTTAACGGCTCTGCCAGGGTGCACTCCCCCTCCACCTAACCCGCACTGGTGAAATATGGTCAAACAATTACATGATCGACACTGAGCGGGGGGGGGGGGGAGTCCTTGATCCAACGGTGGATTGACACAGCACTGTGTAAAGTCAGGCAGTAGCATCAATTGATGATCGAGAACTTATTCACTTTGGTCACTCGCTCATCCACGTCGGTTGCCTCTTCACCCTTCTATCGTTACTACCATATCGATTTAAAGCTTTCGTGACTGCAGGGATTCATATTCTTGGTTCTGTCGGTAAAGTCACGTAGAAGGGAATTTAAAAAAAATGTATTATTTCCCTTGTACGTGACTTAATAAAAATTATTTTATTATTTCCCTTCTACGTGACTTTACCGAAAGAACCAAGAATATGTTACTACCATAGTTGCTGTTTCCATGAACTTTCAATCCTTGCTTTCTCTGTTGAGGATTTTCAACCAGAGACTTGACTGTTTTGCATCATCTGTTCAGTGTTAAACCACCAGACTACAGGTCTCAATACTTCTCTGCTCGACGTTTAAATTCCATCTCATTGTCCCTTTTCCCTCCAGCTTATAACCTTGCTCAATTCAAGAAACGTATTAACTCAACGATTACACGTTCAATATCACTGTTGATGGCTGCTTGGCATTCTAGGCCTGTGCCTTGTGCGCACCTCCGATTAGCACGGTTTACTACGCTAAGGTGCAAAAGAAGTTCAATATACACACTAGCAACTTTTTTTAAAGTGCGTAATAGTGTTTTACTTTTTTGAGTGACTTCACAAAGTGGCAGATGTGTCGCTGCTGCCAGTTACAGTTAATTGTCTCTGCTAGCCGAGCTGCTTATGATGGGAGCCTACATCACAAATGGAATGTATTCTGAACTTTCCTTGCAGGCTTGCTTGGGTACACCAGCAGCTTCTCTCTGGCCTGCATGGTTTTCTTTCTAATTGTGGTAAGTGCAGAAAGGTGTTGTCATGTCCAATCACAATTGCTGTTCTAACAAGTGCAATAGCGTAATGATGTTGTGATCACCTTGGCATATAATTATTGAATTTCTCACCCCAGAGGTTCAATGAAGCGTTTGAATTCGGCGTTAAGATTCAAGAATCTTTTCGCCAATGCCTACATTGCATTTCTGACTCAAGTGAGCAATTTACATGCCATACTGAAGCAGTGACCTGATGACCCGTTTGTCCGGTGTGCATTTTTGTATCATGTTCCAGATCATCATCAAGAAGTTCCAGATATCCTGCTTGGTAGTAACCACGGTGAACCAAACTGAAGCGTACACATTCACATACGACACGACCGTTAACGAGACGCTGGGTGGCACCTGCCCCATTTATCTCGGATTGTTCAACTTCAAGGTGAGCGTGTGGAAGGGCTGCGTTGGTGGCGTTGCGTTTTCGGGCGGCTACTTAGAATACGTTTCATTAATCGGTTGGTTAGCGATGGACCCAGCTTCTCAGAATGCTTTGCTGAGATGCGGCTGCGTGTGTGGTTTGTGCGTCGCAGACGGCGTACACCATCCCGATCTTGATGTTTGCGTTCGTGGCTCATCCAGAGATCCTGCCAATCTACATGGAGCTCAAGGAGTAAGAACCTTGCACTGGCCCACACAGCTTCAGGACCACATGGCGAAATAAATGCTTATTTTGGAATTGCTTAGCGTTGATGTATAGGTTGCGTTTTCCGTACTTGTTATTGTCTCAAACGTTTTTGTAATCACATTGTATTCTTATATTGGTGGCTCAGGTCTTCTTGAAAATTAACTTTATAATCTCATCTAGTGTTTGACTGTTAGTCATTTCACAGCAATTCCCAGCATAGTTGTGGATGCTATTGTCATGGTATTTATGTCAAGTTTGGCATTTTTTGGGGGATTTTCAAGTTTAACCCCTGACAACCATGTCTCATTTTGCAGACCCACCCAGAAGAAAATGCAGCAAGTTTCCAACATATCCATGTTTGCCATGCTTGGAATGTACCTGCTCACGGCCATCTTTGGCTACTTAACATTTTATGGTAAGGAGCCACGGGGAGCTGAGTTTATGAATGTGCTGCTTGAATAGGAGGCAAGGTGTAACACTGGCTTGTTGAATGATCATCTGACGAGAGATACAGCTTTCACTTTGTACGTTAATTAATTGAGCGGAATACCTTGACTAACATTGCAATTCATTTTGTTTTCAGCGAGAAAGTTTAGGCTAAACAGGAGGGGGGGGAGGGACTTGTTGAAATTACAGCGAAAAATCACGATTTGCATGAGCAGCTCCTAATCAGCTCCATACTGGCAATTACATATTCTGAAGACAAACGCTAATTGGAAAGCAATAAATAATCCATTCCAAATTCATGCAATATTTTTTTGCAAGGTACAAGACTGATAAAATGGCCATTTTACCCAGGAAAGAACAAGGTCTCAACTTTTTTCAGGAGGAGGCTGCATTGGGATATTTGTTCAGTTACAAGTAATAAGTGTTAGACGTGGTATGAAACTGGAAGTACCCCGAGGAAAACCACCACGCACACGAATGAGGATATCACGCGGAAAGCGACCTCGTGTGCTCTCGGGTTGTTTCCACATGTGTTGCTCGGCATGTCTCTGACATTTCGCCATCAACGTCCTGGGAGCTTCGTAAAGGGAAGCTCCGTGCACAGTATTCCCATAACGTTGCTCATTCTCGTGGTGGCGTATTTCCCCATGCCAGGCGGCGTAGAAGCAGAGCTGCTGCACACGTTTGTGAAGCTGGGCGGCTTCAGTGTTGTCATCCTGCCTCGTGCGCCTTGCCGTGCTCATCGCCGTCACTCTCACTGTGCCCGTCGTGCTGTTCCCGGTACGTGCCTTTTTCGCAGTTCGAGCGGTTGAGAATTTTTAAAATAGTATTTTCTTAATATTTAAATCGCTATGCACTGAATGCATGGATGCAAATCTTTGCAGCAGCTGCGAATAAGGCATTGGCAGATGCAGGGGATGTTTGTGCAGATGTCGATTTGAGGTCCTGAGATAAAAGATCTGGGGAGATTACGAGAGCCCGGGATCGCTGAAAATCCCGCTTTGTGTTATCGCTGTTGCTGAGAACAGGCCCAAAGGCCCAAAATGCCAAGCGGCCAGCATCAAACAGCACGATTGAAGGAGCAATGAATAAGGGTTAATATTTCTTGAATTGAGCACGATTGCAAGATTGTATGATTCTAAACACTTGGAGAAATGCGAGATGATGGAATGATATTCCTAAGCCGAACAATACGAGCAAAGAAGCAGAAAGAGAAGTGTTGTGACCCGCATTGTGGTTGAACACTGTATGGATGAGACAAAATGAATGGTTAGTTTGATAAACACTCAACTTTGGAAGACATTCATGGGAACATTGTTTGTATTATGGCTGGAAGAGTAAGCAGGCGACTGACCATTGGTGAGTTGGTGTCTGGAGTGTATCGGTAAAGAGGTTCATAGTTAGCAAGTAACTATGATAGAGTGATCAAGAGGTGACTGATTGCCAGCGAGTGACTGGAGTGAAATCGGGAGTGAATTGGAAAGCGTCGGGATTTGCGGTGCTTTGATGTTGGCGACGGTGTTTCCCATTCTCACATGCAGATGCGGAGCTCAGTCGAGGAGCTGTTCTTCCGCACCAAAACCTTCAGTTGGTTCAGGCACATTGTTATCGCAATGGGGTTCCTGGTACTTGATATCTTGCTCGTCATTTTCGTGCCATCGATCCGAGAGATTTTTGGCTTCATAGGTGAGTGCCCCTTGATTTGATTTTTCATGGCCGTTTTTATTTGTTGCTGCGTCTTCTTGCGGGTGTGGCATGGATGGTAGTAGGGGTGTGAACATTCTTCACTACCTCCACAGTTTTAATGGTTGTCACAATTTAGAGTGAAATTGGTTGTGAATTGCTGATGCACACTCGAGGTATGTGACCTGGAGATGTTGGGTCTGTGGAGGTGAATGGGTGTGGGTTGTTAGGCAAGATGTCAAGTTAAAAAAAATTAGATTCAAACACAAGTGGTGCATTTTTTTTAGTTTAAAGTAATCTTTCACTTTTAAATGTAACTTGAAACATTTTATTATTTAAAAGTTGACTTTGTTTAATTGGCAAAGGTTTTGCTTTATCCAATCAATTGTGCATGTGGAAACTGATGGTTTTCTTTTCAAAATGCAGGATCATCTGCGGGTACATTGCTGATCTTCATCTTGCCTTCGCTTTTCTACTTGAAGTTGGCGACACAATCTCGAAAAGAAAAAATTGGCGTAAGTATCCCCCGCTAAGCTAACTGCTATGCACTTGAAACTTAGCATTCCTCTTAGCTACCCAATGTATTTACACATCGTACTGGATATTGTTTGGCATTATGGGGCTTGGCGTTTCTTCAGGAACTGAATTGAAGCAACATAAGAATAACATTGGTATAAAAAAAACGAGAATTTGAGATTAGATTCAACATTACTGCTGTATTTTCATCTGAATATTATTCAATCAAGTGCCATTATTTGGCTTTCGTTGAGACAAACTGCCTGAGCATTTATACGAGGGGATTTGTGCCTTTTTCTTGTCCACAGGCCATAATGTTCTGCGTGGCGGGGTTCTTGCTGATGTTCGCGAGCATTGGTCTCATCATTACAGAGTGGTTACGGACTCCTGTAAAGTGGAGTTAAAAACCACAGGACTGAGGCAAGGGCCTACCCAAACCACCCTCACCTGGCACAAGAGCAAAACAGTGGATCTAATTTCTGCTGGTCACGCTTGTAATTTAACTTAAAAACAAATGTATCCAGAAATGACTACACACAAAAGTTTACTTGAATGTATAAAATCAACTCAAGCCACGTTATTAAACAGGTGAACATTGTCAATTCGTGAAGACGGCCCTCGACCGGAAGATTATGCATCGCCACAGTGCTTATGACGTACCTGGCATTTGCTGGGTGTGGAAGGTGACGTGAACTTGAAAGGCTGTCATCCCAACTACTTAAATGTTTTTTTTTTTCACTTTACCGAGCTTGTTTAGTGCGGAAGCGTTTAACATTTTTAAGGTTGGGGGGGAAAGAAAGGTACACCTGTAAATAATTCAAAGATATCTCAATTGAAATGCAACTTGATATTAATTTACTGTCTTGGAGTGGTGGGACTATTTCCTGACAAGTTTCACTGTTTTATAAATGTTTAAGGCCATCCATAATTTGTAATGTATACATGGTTCGTGGATGGAAAAGGACCTTTATTTAAGTAATGTGGAGTCCTTTTTTTACCTTTCAAATTCGGTTTTCCTAGTTTTTTTTGTCAGTTTAATCCAATAGTCATACACATGTGGTACATTTGTGCGAAATGTCAGGTTTCATTTGCAGGGATGTTGGTCCTAACCTTGGCACCTGCATTTTTGTAGCTGCAATGCAGCATGTCAGAAAAAAACATCCTGGTCCGAGTTCATTTTGTGATCAACTCTGCAAAGTTGGGCCCTAAGGGCCATTTTACACGGGAACATTTTCGGGCAATCGTCACCAACAATCTTTGCCGGCAGTAAATTGCCTCACCATCTCCAATAATTTTATAGACAGAACCATCACTCCCTTGAATGCCTTGCCAGTGAATACTGCTGGAACGATTGCTCTGTAACTGCCCCCAAGTGTATCGTGGCCCTTAACGGTTTTTGCAGATGCACAGCTGTAAACGGTGAAATTGAACAAAATAACGCACAACACTGCATGCCACCAAACAATTTTTTTGTTTGGTTCTTTTTGTACTCTGGATTTAGTTTTCCCATTGCAGATGTTTGCTTAAAAACAATTGGCCATAACACCACAGAACGCTGGGTATTCTTACCGCTACTTTGATAACTGTGGATGCCACAGAGCATTACATTTTCCAAATTTCTGAAAAATGATAAAATTGCAGGCTGTGCTTTTTCCTTTCCCTGCAGCTTGCAATATACAAACATCAGCTATGAAATTGCAGGTGCCTCCAGTGTTTGGTACGACATGGATCACATCCACGCTGTGGTATGGGAAAATGGCGTATGCCTGTAGGAATTGTGTGCTTGTGTGTATTTACCGAGCTATACAAAAAGAACGTGTTTAAGAACAGGAAAATTGCATGTGACTGTCGTATACATTTTTACACCGTACAACCGAGCCTTGCCAAAACCCCCACCCTCTTTACGGCTCAGGAGGTGGTGCCAGGTTGTCTTTCCACTGCAGAACTCGAGGCGTGCAGCCGAATGACACACAATGAACGAGCGATGTCATCATTGCACGTTCATGTGTACTGACACAGCGCATAACGATAATTATTCAACTTTGTCCATGGCCCCTGCTTGCCCTCGGGTTCAAATAAATTGAGGCCAGCGTATTCCCGTTTGGTTCTGGCTTGGCACGGCAAACGGCCAGTTGGGAAGAACCCCACCCATACTGTGAGGGTGGGGGGGGGGGTCCATCCTGGTGCTGATTGGATGTCGGTGGAAAAATGAGTATTAGAGCCAATCATGTTTTCGTAACGGAGCGAGTCAGCCAATTAAGGAGTCTGCACTGTGAAGTTCAGTGCAAACGCGATGTTCAGCTCCATTTATAAAGCTAATAAAAAGACCAGGAGACACGTGTCCCGTTCAGCCGTTGTGCATATGCATTGGATAAGCTAGAAATCCAAAAGCTGCAGAGGGGAATGCTTTTTACGGTCCTTTTAGCTGTACAAATGACCAAATTGGAAGTGTAGATTTTTCTTTGAAAAATATAAGCTATTGCAAAGCTATACTGCTCTTGTGCTGATTAATGTTTTACATACAATCCTCAGCCGGGCAGAGAACTTCATGTAGCATCAGACATTCGTGTAACTCTACGACTGAATGCCATGGACATAAACAGAAAAGAGCTGCGTAACTTATTTATAACTTTGCATGCAATCAAGAATATAATATCCCCCCCCCCCTCCATGTATCAATGCCCGTGGTATCATGACGAACGTTTCGTATGTTGTGATGCGAGATTCTACCACTCGGTGCGTTTTGTTATTTATATTAACGCGACTTATGGATTTTGCATTTGGTCATTAGACCTTATTATTGTCTGGCAGGCCTTGAACATACATATTTTTCATACCAGGAATTTTCACCGGATCAGGCCCATCTTTACAAGTGAAATTTTTTTTTTTACTAATTTTAAAACTTGCAAGGTACATGTTTACACTAACTTTTAAATGCAGAAATGGGCCATGTGTATCCTCTGGCATTCATCTCAGTGAAGTTCGTAAAGTTAATGATATTTACGAGCATGCTGTGATGAGTGTTTTCAGAATACAGCATTTTGGTTTAACTCCGACATCGTTTTGGCAGTGCAGCTCGCTTCACAGTAGCGTCCTGTCATAGTATTGCATTTTTAAATGCCGACAATCTTGTACCAGGACACAAGAGTTGAGCAAGTGACTGATTTAAGTCTAATTTAAGGGCATAACTTAATTGTCAGCATCTCGCTATTTAATAAGCCTTGTGATAACTCTGAACTGACAATCTCATTATGGATGCCAAAGAGGACTTCCCACCACCTGTTACAGGGAACGTTTGCTATCGAGAGATGCACTCCATATTTAAGCAACCTCCCCCACCCCTATTTTGCATGGCTTTATTTAATGTATTTTCAAAAGACATTGACGACACTGTTTTCTCAACTGTATATATTGTATGTCGAATCAATTGCTCGGTTTACATTCCTTTTGAGGACCGACAACCACGCACTCATTACTCTAACACCCCAGTCTAGGTACAATGATCTTGGCCGTCATGCACGATGCAGGCAGCGAACCTCAATAAGTATAATGGTAAGATTGAAAAATCAATTATGCTGTACATTTGCTTGGGCTTGCTTCAAATAATTGTAACAAAAATCTAGATTTTCAAAGTATGACAACAGAAGTGGAGTAATCTAGAAATGCGTCTCTAAGTCCTTTGTGTTTTCAGGGTGAATTGTGTAGTTTCCCTTGCCACAGCCACTTCTGCAGAGTGGTCGATTGTGAACCTGTCTCGTGCCTCGCTTATACCCAGCAGACCCGTTCATGTTGACGGCTGCAGAAGAGTTGTGGGTGGTCAGCATGACGGTATTGTCGTCTTGCGTCTACAACACACGCCCAAATATTACTGACGGGCATATGGCGTGCTTGCAATGCAAGCTGCCTTGCGCATCATCCGCGTGCGTCGGCGTGAGGGATCGGTACGTTGTGTCAGCTGTTCAGGGGTGAGCCAGGCCCCACGGCAGTGCCTGTCAATGACGTGCTTGTAAGCGTCAGCCCCCCCCCCCCCCCCAGGTAATGCAGGCCCAACTAAATGGAATTTTTCCTTGCATAGACAGCATTTGTTAGCGTGATGCTGTCTTTCATGGTTTATTCTGTTGCCTTGGGTCTTCATTGGTTATGGTTAGTAACATTGTTACCTCAACACTTGCTTGATTTTAATTGTTGGCTACGCTTGGAATCAATGTGCCCGTGTGACATTGTGGCTTAATTTATTTTTACCTATTTGCTGGGTTTAATCACGGATTGTTTAAGTGGAGATCAATTGGTGAACAGTTGGACCCAGTTCTAGAAGCTTATCTTGAAACAGTTTTTAATTTGGGTGGCATTTCTTCATCGTTTTGATTTTAGGAATGTTGACGTTTTAATAAAAACATTAACTATCAGCACTGCTTCCAACAGCGTTTAGGGTATTGTGTCCACACTGGCAATTCGGCTAGCTGCGGTACACCCTCGCCACTTAAAAACATTATTTGGCTTCAAGAGACTCCACAATGTAGTTTATACTCCTTTGCATTAGTGAGTAGGAAATAAACATGGGATTTGTAGTCTCGTTCTAATGCAAACTTAGCTTCTGAAATATATCACCTTTGCAGTTCCACTTTTGGCTGGGAAAGGTAATTTTAATTGACTAATAACCTCCCTGCGCAGGAAATAAAGTTCCCTATGAATCGAGACATTGCCTACAACCTGTTGCAGGTAAATTCAGGAAAGTTAAAGCCTAAATTGAAAATTTAAACATAAATAGACCCATGGTACCAAAGTTTTAGCCAAGCCAATGGCTTTTTTTTACGTAACTTGTGCGAGGCAGGGAAACTCACGATTGGTGTCCCCTTGTGAACAAGGAATTACTGGCATTTGATGAAGTAGGATGCATATTTCTAATGTGTTGCCTCCTGTATTATTTAGTGTAGGGGGGTACCGTTGCATCTTGACAACCGAGCGAAATACTGTTGGCGTGTGGTGACATCGCTGAATTGTGCACAAACTGAATCGGGGGGAGGGCCATGATTCGATTGTTGTGGTAGATACGGATGGCCAGTTAATAATGTTTTTCTTCCCAATCAATGTCATTTTTGTAGAAAATAAAAAATGTTCATGTGGAAAATCTGATTTATAAAAAAAGGTGGTTAAAATGGCAATGAAATGAATTGCGTGTGCGCTTGTTCAAATTAATAGCACTTGTTTGTATCGTCTGGATGGAATAGTGGATTTCCTGTTAACCCGTGCGGCCGTTTGAACCATCAATGCATTCATCAGACATTCGTTCTGAAATGTGAGCGTAAGGATTTTACTTGCAACAAAAGCCAGTTTTGAAAAACTTTTAAAATCCTGACGGCTTGTGTGTGTATATATAGTCTAGGAATGTAATGTGTAATCATTACCTTATCCCGCTTGTACATTACTTCCTTAGTGGGCAGGCATGTTCTGCTTTTTTACAAGCTGTACATATGCATGTAGAAATAAAAATTTTGACGCATTCAACTGCTGATTTATTTCATAGTATGTTGCGACCAGCATTTTTGGTATATCAATTATTTCAATGAAACACTTGTTAAAAAGCCATGATACGTTAATTGCTCACTGTCAGTATTAACAATAATTGCAAACCGACCACCCCCCACACCCTTGCGACTAGTTGGGTCTGAAATTAGATGCAGGCAATTATCACACGTGCGCCATCACACCTCTCGCTGTGCCCGCCTGTGTTTTTTAGCTCTTCAGCTGACGGTGCCACTGTACAATGAGCCTTTCAACGACTTTCCACAGTGGCCTCGGGCAAGGCACTCAGACATGCAGGGACAACCCGCGGTATTTTTTGACAAGTCAACATCGTGGCTTAACTTGCCTGTCAGTTTGACACGTAGGTTTTCGTGACCAATATTCATTAAAGTTTTTTTGGACTAGATCGCGCAATTAGTAAGGTTTGTCACGTAAACAAAAACGTGCCAGTTAGGTGTGTTGGAGAGTAAATCCACATTAACAATTTCAGGATCCATTGGGCGATTTTGCTTGTGCGCGTTTCACTATTGCCACCATTCTTGACTCAACTCCGTAATTACTTAATTGGCTGAAAATACCTTCATACCTCGCACAGCTTTGGTTCGCTACCTTTCCACATGTCTGGTAGACCAATAAAGATCGTATTGGTCACCCCATGCCCTTATATCAACGTTCATTCTACAGTCCGATTACAAGGGAGAAACACAAACATGTACTTTTTTTGACGGTATTGAAACAGCTGTACGCTATATGGACCTGAACTCGATTTCCCTGTACAAGAATACGGGTAAACCCGTATGGGTTGACACGGTATGGTCTGCAGACCCTCGGCGAATGTCCAATGCATTTTGCATAAACTATCCTGTCGACTGAACTAAGCATCACGCTTTCCCCAAGTTGGCAAGCACTGTTAAGTTTTCAAGAAAATGTCTCGCACTTTTAAAAAGTCACGTAATCTAATACCAATTATTATTACAACTAAAATATGTTCTAACTTGCTTTTAACAAATCGTAATTAGACTTTTTTTACGTATCTTCAGTAGCAGGTCTAGCTGTTGATGCAGCATAACTGTGTTCTGTCCCTGTGTATACACACGCCATTTTAAGGGTTTAAACTTAAAAAATCGAGGCGTACACACATGCTCATGACGTTTTTTTTATTGGCTCAACATACCAGGAGGGGGCAGCAAAAGTCTGTCATTCTGTAAACACATTTTTCTAAAAAAACATTAAAGTGTAAAACCTACTGTAAATCCATTAAGGTTACAGGCGTGTCTCACTTAACGGGCTTTCTTTCTGAGAATTCGCTATCACGAACAATTTGAATTTCTACCCATTTGTTCGAAAAGCTATCAACATATTCGCTTATCTAGCGAAGACCGATGCATAAAAATGCGTCCCGTGGCACCAGGGGATGCACCGCAGGCGCAGCTGTTTGTTTACCAGCTGTGCTGCGGTGTGTAAACATCACCACGAATGAGACAAAGGCGGCCAGGCGTGGTGCTGGCCACTCACCCCTCATGTGTGCCGTACTGGCCTTGATGGCTGCTACTCTGCTCACAGCACTTGCCCCAACAGTCTGTTCAGGCTATCGAGGGGACCTTGCACTGTGGTTCTTCACGTGTGGTGTTAAATTCCATGTTCTTTATAAAAAAATTATCCAGTAATTTGAATCTAATTAAAAAAAAGAGTGGAAGATGATGGGGCCGAATCGTAACTTGGCTTGTAGCATGAGAGGAGTCAATGGGAATGCGACAGATCGATTCACAGATACTAGCTTGCCGAGCAATTTTCGCGAAACGCATCTTGCTGTTTACGGGAGACGCGCCTGTGTTAATGACAATTACCACATTTGGAAAATTGCAGTCCATATCCTGGTGAAAAAACGTGTCGTATTCCCAAAGTGAATACCACAGATTGCTTAATATAACTAATCACAAGCCAATGTTTGCATGGACGACCTGCCAACTTGATTCATTGTACCGAAAGCCCTTGGTATAAACGGTATACAATTTACATTATCGACCGCGGAGAAGGAAAGTAAGAACAAGTCGGGACACATTTTACTCCGGTCTCGATCAGATCCCACCACACTCCACCTTCAGCCAGCTCTTTTGTAGGACCCATTTAATATCAGGTGAAAGACACGGGAATGGGGTGGTTGGGGGGGGGGGGCAGCGCTGGGTTACCCTCAACGCAACATCACCTCTGCAGAGAATTGTCACTCGTCTGTGCCCAGCGTCGAGCTGAAGATGCGATAGTGCACTCTCCGCTGGGCTTTCAGGTTGTCGCTGTAAAATGACTTCAGGCAGCACTCGAGCCACGGGTGGTTCTCTGTTGGATGAGGAAAACGAATAAGGCGACCCACATATGTGCCCAACATTTAGGTCATTTAATAACGGCACAAGGATCCTGCTGGAGGGCATGTACCGGCTACTGGTTTATGGCGAGGCAATTTACAAAGCGATTGGGGCATCGTAACTTTCCTGCTATGCATTTACTTTTTAATAAGATTGTGAATAAGGCAAGTTGAAATAATATTCTGTTGGAAACCAGCCCACTCAGAAACGAAAAACCAACACAAATCACAATAATACGAAAGCAAAAATCTCATTCCGTTTCTGGACAGGAAAACCAAAACGGCCTTTTTTGCTGTTGCTCCGATTGAATTCTTCCGAAAGAAAAGTTGATTGAACACGGCTAACATTTTTCAGAGCGCGTTTCAAACACGGGACACGGATAACACGTGGTTACCTGCGTTACTATCGTAGGGACACAGCCGGTGCAAGATGTCCACCAGACGACGCTGCAAATCTTGATCCACAAGCACCTCCTCTGCTTGTAGCCCGCAGAAAAATATTCTCCTGCGCAGAGATTCGCAGTTATTGCTGGCTGAGACGAACACAGAAAGACTGCAGCTCCAGACGGAGAGATCGGTCCCACTGTACTCTTGCTTAAAACGCAATTAGGACGACCGTGGTGCAACAGGTGACAATTAAAAACCAGCGGTCAGGATGGGCACGCACACGCTGGCACACATCACAGCACCTACACTTATCACCATCATCCCCAAGAGTTCAATTAGTACTCTGCCAGCAATTAATAACTGTGAAAATGAGTCTTTGCGCGTCCCGTTGAAAGGCTCCATTGTGTTTGGCGATGCTGTGGGGTCGTGCTTATGGCAACATGTATGTATGTATGTAGAACTTCTTTCGCACTGTATGGCGCCAACCATGCTAATCACAAGTGTGGGGGAAGGATAACAAACTAAACAAAACGTAGTTGTAATTAAATTAGTTTTCAATCTTGATTTAAAAGTACGTAGCTCCAGTGGCTTCCGAATATCGGAAGAGCATTCCAGACAGCCACAGAAGCGTACCTGAAAGAGTGTCATGCAGTGACTGTCTTTGTATGATGGCTAGCCAACATCCGCTTCTGTGAGGATCACCAGAGTGCAGGTGATGGTCTATGCTCCTTAACGAGATCAGCAAGGTATTGTGGTTTATTTGTGGCAAACGCATGGCGCCCTCGTTGCTTGCCCAGCAGTTTTCCACTAAAGTTAGCGAAGCAGCACTTGAGAAGTAGTAGCATGAGGCAGTACAACAATCTGATGCTATATTCTAATGACAACTGGCAAGTAGACTCATCACTCTAGGAATTGTCCTGGACCAGCTTAGCTCGAATTTTGCACTGCTGCCCAAGTCATGCAGCCATGGGTTCAGCCCTTCCCACTCTGCCCTCTTTCTATGCTCCACAGCCGCAGGGGCGCAATCACAATAAGAGTTTACTTTAAGGAGTGTTTAACGGAGACTTTAGTTAGGTTAGACTAGCAAAAGTTGAACAAACACAAACAAGGTTCGCCGCTGCAGATATGGAGCGATGAAATAAACTCGTACGCAGTCGCTTGGCGTGCTCGGGCAGGACATGTCCCTAGAAGGGATGGTCAGTGGTCAAGACGAACGACATTGGCAGCCAAAGGTGGATACACGCTCAAGAAGCAACGACATCAGCTCGGGTTTAAGAGCTGGATGGAATTTGCATCGCAGGAATATTTATGACGGCAGTGGATTTATCATTCCGGACGATGACAAGGACAGTCCCCAAAACCACAGCCCTCACGTTGACCTCAGCGAGGGACGTCAATGTCCGAGCCCGTCTCTTCTTATGCACCGACCCCGTGGATTATCACGAGTGTTTCCCAAGGGTGGCCCAGGTGAAAGCCCGTGGCACTGCTCGTAAAATTGGGCACTCGAGTCTGGTCGGCCTGGTAAGGCTGCCGTCGTAATCTCAGCTGAGACCATTCACCCGGCTTGCTTCCCCACCGGCTGGAAACGCGGTGTCGCTGCCCTGTGAGGTGTAACCCGACAGCTAGCGGTGGGGGGGGCGGGGGGGTTGTGGAGGGGATTGAGTTGCAACTTACGGCCTCGTCTGCAGCGAGCGAGGCCACGATGTCGCCCGTGGAGTCGCGCAGTTGGAATCTCAGAGTGAAGATATAGCGCATGGGTTGTATTCCCAAAGCTGAGAAGCACAGTGATAATGCAGTATGTTAATAATAGTGACGATAGATATAAAAAAAACATGTTTGCCGAGTACAACAAGTTAATGAGGCTGTGATGGTAGCCTTCAGCGAGCACCACCTCCAGCGATCTTGTTCACGTCAAAGGATTTTAACTTCTCCAAGCCGCAAAGACTTCCTGCTCTTGGCTGACTGCAATTCAGACATCTGTGGGAAAACAAAATTTAAATTGTAACTTTTATGACCGTGCTGTCGGTGTCGTGTCAAGAGAAGACGCTTTCAGGAACATCTGCCAAGCTTTCTTATCTACTTCCGCCCCCTGCATCACAAAGCTTCAGTTTGAACTCCATGCGTTACCTCCCAGCCCTCACCATGCCCCCACACTCACCATGCCCCCTCCCCCCCCTCCTCTATATAATTCCTTGTCACAGCCATCTCTTAGACACAATTAAGTGGTTGTGCTTTCGCCACGTTGTCCCCACCTGAAGACGGACGCTTGTGTTGCGCCCGAAACGTCGTGATTTAATCTAGTTGTTTTCATTATTTATTTTATTTTTTACCTACGTGACTTTACCGAAAAAACCAAAGAGTATCTGCCAAGCAGTCTGACCCGTCGTGTCTGTGATATCTGCTGTGGTAGCAGCTATCACAGAACCACTTCCAAGATCCCTTCAACTGAGACCTCACCCAACCGAGGGGGCGGCACTTGCCCATCTGTTGTTGCATGGAAGTCAAACTGATATTTTCAACTCTCAAAGAGCTGGAATTTAATAAAGTGGCAACCCAAATGTAATAAATGTCTGAGGTCATTCACCCCGGGACTGAGACGGTCAACTCAAATAACTGAAGAATGTGGCTTGACCGTGGGTGGCTGCCTGATATTTACGCAGGATCTTAGGCGGTGAGTAATTTTATTTTCAAATTGTCAACTCAAGAGGTCATCTAAATGGCACGACCCTCCCCCCCCCCCCCCCCAGGGCGAGTGTGTGGAAGGTGCCGCTTGACCTGAAGTAACTCCGACTCTTTTTGATGACAAACGGAACTGGGTCATCGCACATGGTGAGAATGTTGTCCCGCGGCGTCACGGGGATGACGCACCCAACGTCTTCGGAAAGGTTTTGCAGTTCCGTTACAGCCGTGCCTGCAAAGCCTCGCAGAAAACACAAAATAAGCTCCCTGGACTGCGTCACGGAAACAATGATCGACACAAGACAGGGTTATTGCGTCAAGTCATATTTGAAAGAAAAAAATATATATACTTTGGAGTTGAAATTCCGGACGGGGGCTATGCGTGGTCGAGCAACACGAGTCTAACAAGCAGTGTGGGTCTAACAAGCAACGCGGATCTAACGAGCAGCACACGTTGGGACCCCTGGGAGGTCAACATTGGATTTCCTAGAAAGAAACGGATCCCTGCCATGGGGATGCAAGAATTTCCACCACTGGCAAGGGTACGCCAAACGAAATGAGCACTGTAACATTTCTTGTTCGAGCAGAAAAACACTCCTGACTTGTTTTGTTTACGAAATTAACGATTAAAACACATTCCTGCGGAGGGAGCTGGTAGGAACGTTGGGTTGCTCGGTCAATGGCCAGGGTCAACGGCGGCGTGGTGTATTCCGCAAATATGCTCGACTGTGAGGGCGGGCACAAGCCGGTGTGAGTAGGTTCAACGTTGAGTTTTATAAGGGCACCACGGGGTGACCAGCCCCTCCCCAACCAGCCCCACCCCTCCCACCCCCCACCCAGCCCCACCCTCCCCACCCAGCCCCTCCCTGCACGACGGACGGACGGTTCACACTAATCCCCTGTGGGCTGGTGTAACCAGGAGGTTCCAACCAGTAATATGCCGACACAAAACTAATGAGCCTGAATGAAGACGCATACTGCCATGGGATAAACCAAATGAAATTCACCAAGAACCTGACAAAAAATTCCACAGGATATCCTCAACTAGCCTTGGGACTAGGACTCGAATAAAAAAAAAGATGCCGACTAAATGAACAATGGCTTCAGCTGTGACGACGGCGACTCACCTTCCACGAGCAAAGCAGACGCCTGCTTAGCGCCCGTTCTTCCACCACACGGCACGTAGCGGAAGACGGGTCTTTCTCGGCAGGTCCAGCCATCTTCCAAGGCAGCCGCGTCCTCCTCGGAGCAGTGGCTCCACAAGCTGGACTCGTCCTCCTTGCTCCTCTGCACCACCGGGTCATCCGGCCACGTGGCCAGGCCTTTGAGCACCGACGAGACGACCTCCTGGCTCGGGATGTCCCGGCTGACGACGGTGTGTGCAGGGCATTGTTGCACGGGACAAGTTTTAAAATGCAAATGACTTGAGCTTCATTGCTCATCTCGGCTTAGTGTCACGATGCCCGAACGGTTAATTCAAACATTGCCATTGCTTGCTAAATGCAGAGCGTGGGATGTTTAGCGACATTCGGGTTTGATGTGCAATATAATACAGTATTACTTAGCAGGCAAATCGTGTGCGTCCACTGGGTAAACTACAGTACATTGGCACGAGTCAGTCCTTGCCTTATAGCTACATTACTTCCTGTAATAACTCATAGTAGGCTCATTGTACAAGCTTCAGGACTCAGAGTAGCCTAAATCTACAGCGTGATGAGTGCCAACTGGAGCACTGCCTGAAGATAAGTCACCGTTCTGCCGAAGCATGACCTACAGTACTGCCTGAGTGGAAACTCTAGTCCCACCGTTCTGATGCTTGGCACTCATCGCGGTCAGTTTTCAGGTGTTATCGCGTGATATTTGGGGCATCGTGTCTGATGTTTCGCTCCATGCTGACAGCTTCTTCAGGAACTGTGAGCGAAATGTCAAGACATTATGCCGATCGTGCAATAAAACCCGAAAATACATCAAGAGCTATATAGTACTGCCATGCCAGGAGTCGCTAATACAGTCTTGGCGTGAGCCCCGGTGGTGAAAACTGTGTGCGCGATGCGTATTGCTTACAGGGCGTTGCACCGCGGGCAGTGCAGCCTGATGCTGCGCAAGATCGACTCTGGACGGTAGCCGATGAGCCTGGCGCGGACGCGATGTTTATTCGGGACCGGGGCAGCCAACACCGTGCTCAGGGCAACGGCCTTTATGTGATGGTGGGCCGTCAGAACTGCAGGGCGGTGGGCACATTTGTGATGGTTGGGGGTCCGTGCGGCATGCGTAACACGGAGGAGTGGTGGGTGTCGCTGTTCGTGCGCTGCGCTACAAAACCAAGCGACTCCAGTTGGATTCCCGCTCACGGCCAACCCCGGTGACGATTATTTGTACTGGTGCTGGGCATCCCCGAGGTCGACTCAACCTCAAATGAGTACCAAGTGCGGTGTGTGAACATCGCCACTGGGGAGACAAAGGCGGCCGGCCGTGGTGCTGGCCACCCACCCCCTTTGTGTACCGTTACGGCTTTTATAGGTGCTCGCTAACAGCACTTGCCTCAATCTGTTAAGGCTACACAGGGACGTTTGTTTCGTACACGGAGGAGGCTACTTCTCCCGTATTCCCCTGAATCCACAGAGCTATGCCTACCGGTGGCCGAACGTTGCAGGCAGCGAGGTTCCGTGTCGTCATCGCTGAGCTCCTCCTGTGGGCCCACTAAGCCTTCCACTGCCTCGCCCTGCCACTCTTCTGGTGCTGGGGATGGTTAAATGACACCAGTTACTGAAACCTTTGGCTAATGCACCGTGACATTTTAAATACTTCGGGAACTCATTCATTGCTTGACTGCAGAACGGTTAAGTTTTAATTTGCTGCATTAGCCAAATTACAACAGCATATTAATTGCATGAATCGTAATAAATTATTGCACGTGTGATTCTGTGCAAGACGAGTGACCAAAGGAATGAATGTGAATCAATAAAGCAATCCATCGCTACATGCCTAACAAGTGGAACTCAATGTTTTTAGTTGTTAACCGATTAGGCATGGCATTACAGTGACATGACCCGAAAGTAAGATTACAATGACACCCACTATTGTGCATTTTTTTTCTTTAATAACTTAAAATCAACATTTTAATCTCATTTTGACAGAGCCCAGGTAGGTACCTACAAGAGCTGTTTGGTCTTGCATCTTCCTTGAAGAAATGTCCATCACAATGTGTATCTATCAAAGGAATTTTGGAATAAGCTTTACTACTTTATGTTTACAAATTTTACGGACGTAAAAAGTTAAAGGAAACTTTGACTAAAAGATTACAATTAAAAATCGACAAATATTCCACGATTCATGAGAAACGTCCCACTTGACAAAGTGGCCAGCATGCACAAGTTAGTTATGACCAGAATTACTTTCATCCGTGTCGTCTGCTGCTGCTAGCAGAGAATCTGTGAGCAAGGCATCTGCAGCTTCCTCTGCCACCTTTCCCAGAGCCCTGTGGTTCAGAGACAGGCATCGGAAGGAAGAGAGGAATGCATAACAGAATCATTCTTTATCCCGGAGGAATCTGATGAGCTATGAAGCTCTTGTTCACAGACATCCCGTCAGGGTGGGTCAGCAAGTTACATGAACTAAACAACACAAAAAAACAATATTCAAGAGCAAGATAGGTTTGGTGTAATGTAACATTCCTAATAACCCTACCTATTTTTGAAAACATTGACACGTGAATGTACAACCTTAGACATTGATAAATGTGTGTAATGACAGGGTGACATCTAAAGGGGTAATTACGGTCATGGCTGCATTACATGCCGTATTATAAGGGGGGAGTATCTGGGGTAAAGGTGAAAGGCGGAGTCAATCGAGAAGCTCCGGGAACCAGCTCGAAGGTTCTGGAAAGGGGGCGAGACCACAGGTGGAGCTTGGCCGTGCCGGGCAGATATAAGGGGGACCGAACCAGAGGTTCGGGGCTGTTACGGGTCCTGGCTGCGTCGCTGCTCTCCGCCATCTCTTCTACGAGCTATGTGGGACGGAGTCGCCAAAAAGAAATTAATTAATTACGATTTTGACTTCCGTTTATTCGGGACCCCGGGGTCCCGCCATAAGGTTCATAAAAATATAGTTTTTATTGAAAAATCCTGTTAAGTTATTTTTAAAAAGAGAAGGCCATCCACGTGCGCCGGCGTCCAAGTCGATTAATTATTGGCAAATCAATCTATTAAAAACATTATTCTTTATTTTCCCAGGGAAGGCTCACTGAGCTATATCGCTCTTGTTCAGAAGAGATCTGGTCACAAATGATAGCTTAACAAAGTGGCTTATGTGAAAATTTATAGCAGCCAAATACTCTAAATGCGTGTTGATTCGAAATGTGGAAGGAAAAACCGGAGGACCCGGAGAAAAAACCCATGCAACCACAGGGAGAGAGACATGAAAACTCCAAATATAAAGTAGGTGGCAGGGTCGGGATCGAACCCACGACCTCCAGTATACCAGGCGAGGTAGGATGCCTTAAGAGGCACTGCAGGAGGGTGCGGTATAAATATTTAGTGGGGACGATGATGATGTCAAACTAGTCTTGCAGCTATGTCAGAAGCCATACCGATGCAGCGAGAGGAGCTCTGGGCTGTCTTTGGGGAGCGTGATGATGGCACGGCCGAAGGCGGTACCACCCCCGTGTAGAACGAACTCCAGCTCGCCCTGGGTCGTATCGGACTTGTCCCTTGACTGCCGTAGGTAGCTGTGCAGGTTTAAAATCTCCAGGAACGACCCCAGCTGCACGACACGTTGCATGGGGAGGGATGGGGCAGCAAGCGTAACGACGCATCGGTTCTTACGTACGAATGTACGTCGTTGGAACTTCTTTCGCGTGGTACGTAGCCAACCGTGCTAATCGGAGGTTCACCAACTAAAATCGACGCTTGCGCTCCAGGTACATCAACCCTGAATCGTGAAAGAGCTGAAAATGATTCGTGCAAAAAACGAATTATTTTGAAACGTTGCATTTAGTATAAATTACAATGCAGCCTGCAATGTCTTGCTCACGCCACTGCTGGCAGAAGGGCCTCCACGAGAAAGAACTCCCTTGAGTCACTATAGAGGGTATTTGGCCTACTCTTTCACACTGGGCAGACATCTTAAAAGCAGCGCAAGTACCTACACTTTACCCCACCCAGCAAAACCTGCTAATTTGCGCGAACAAAAGTTCACGAGACGGCTAACAATAGAATATGGAATTCGCAACTCTAATCGTGCAAATTAATTGCAAAGCCGGGGAAAGGGGGGGCTGGTGGTGGATGAGGGGGGGGGGGGGGGTTTGAGGTGAATCATAATAGTTACATGTGCAGGGTAGGGTGGGGAGATGGTAACCATCAGCCCTGAGACTGTTATATGCATGACAGAAATACGAGCTGCTACATTCTTGCTAAATGGTTGCATCTGGGAGAACCCAACAATAATAGTAAACCACATTGTCATGCTTTGTGTGCAACACAATCTTCTCCAGCAGCATCCACGATCCTCTGAACCTTGCTTGTAATACCCAATACTTGCATGACGTCTTAGGAGACTTTTGTTTTAAAATGTGCATTTAAACTTGAATTGTACAGTGGCCGAGTGAAAACTACAACATAAGCAAAACCAATAAAGATATATTGCAGGCCAAATGTAATCTCATGTAAATGGCTAAAGCCTTGCACATTGCGATTGGCGTTATTTCTAATGTCACTACGCCAATCCGTACGTTTGCAGGAGGCATGAGATATTCACAGGGAGATGCATTTCATCTCAACGTTCGTATTGCCTTAGCAACCGCAATTAATGGAACGCAAACAATATTCCCCCAGTGATTTGTGTTGTCTTTGCAAACTGCTGTTCAAGGTACTGATAGTGACACTTCTTTTTATGTGCTGATTTCTGCAGGCACGAGCCTGTGAAGTGCGGTCTGTGCCCTGCAGAATAAATCTGCTGTCAGCGTATGATAAATGAAACCCAAGCGCTTTGATATTTAAACCTACGAGCTATGAAAATATTCATTTGCAACCGCATGCATAATATATCACCAGATAGGGACACCTAAAACAAGGCCCAGAATATAACTGTCAGTTTCAACAGCTCTGCTTAATAGGGATCCTTTATCTTCATGTCCAGCAGATGACGGCAAAGAGCCTAGGATTTGCTGGCGAGTCCGCTGTTGGCTGCATTATTAGTAGCCACATCATTGTATGACCAACTGCAGCATTGTGCTAGTTATAGATACAATTTCTAAGAATACAAAGAACTACTGAATGCTCAATTTAATGCATGCATTATTAGACGCAAAAAGAAAGCCGGCATTTTTATAAAGCTGTCATTAATGTAAATCTTTTGCAGATAACATATATATAAAAAATAAAAAGCCCTCATGACAAGGGCTTACAGCATCAAGGCAGTTTTGTGCACCGCTAATTAAAGCTAGGCTCTCGCAAGACACCGTTTGCTGCTGTGATGGAGTCTCTAGCCAATTCCCTATTTAACCCAACGTGCGATTGCGTCGGCCAACAGAGCTTGCAGTGTTTGTGAGACGCACACTGCATCTGTTTCTTTATTCAGCAACAGCCCAGGGCATTTAAATATAAATGCTTTAAGCACTTCAATGTCTTTAAGACTATTATTGCTGAGAGCTTGATTTTGTGCGATGAATAAGAAGCAATGTTTTATACTACTTCTGTAAAAATGATTGCTTTGACATGACCTGCATATCAAAGGTACCATAACAATACGTACATTCGAGATGAACTTTAAAATCTATGGCTTATAAGAACTGCAAAACAAGTGAAAGTTGCGGATGTTAAAAGAGCAATTTGTAAAAGAGGAGGATGTTTAATGGTTTAAAAGCAGATGGAAATTTGCATTTGAATGGAAATTAATATTACAGATATCCAAACACGAAGTCTTTTCATGCGGTATTCATTTCCCATGATTACATTTTAATTAAAAACAAAACAACTATTAAAAGAAGCCCCACAAAACTTTAAATTAAGACTAAATGGTTTTTCATACTCGGTCCCATATGACTGGGGGGGAATGCGCCATAATAAATCCTATTTAAATTTAATTTCATGCCAGCCAGTCACCACACACACATACAAAAAGTAGAATTCACGGCTGAGCTTTTAAAAAAATCCATCCCGTCTGATTTCGCCAAACCTTGCACCTGCAACGGATCGCTTTGTCTGCGCTTTCATCTTTAGAATCTTATAAACGTTTTGCACAACCTACGAGACACACCACCTCATGGTTAAGCAGATTAACAACAACGTCCTAGCATGAGAGCAACTCTTAAAAAAAAAATCCCACTCCAGATATTTGTATTAAAAACAGCATTATTGGCAGTGATGTAGTGTAAAATGGTATGTTAATTTTGCAATGTTAATTAATAACAAGGAAAATAAAAAATTAAGTATGATTATGGGAAACTGAGACTAACGGAAGAATTAATACTCCAAATGACCTTAGGCTTTAAACTCGGACCTGACCAACTGGGAAAAGGATTAGTCCTGGCCGTGATAAAATAATAAATATGCAATGTCTTTCATGTGACCAAGCTATTAGCCAGGGTGGGTGGGGGCATTACGAACCAGCTCGGTGGCTATTGGACGCCCAATTTCTTAATTGCGTAAAATTTCAATGTAAATATTTATTGAGCCGACCATTAACGTCATTATCCATAGAAATAAACGATTCGCTCTTTCAGCAACGATTCTTCACGTCCGCCAGCCGCCACTTGTGGGCGGCATTGACGCTCGCCCCGCTCCTCTCGCCAGTGAGAACTTCATGGCCACTTGATTCCCCGCTGTCGACAGCGGGTGGCGGGCAAGATTATGAGAGGGCCGGTCACATTCCGCTATGTAATGGCTATGTAATGGCGATAATGTGACGGTGCTCCTGGTGAGCTGCGAATATCTGAAGTCACTCTCACGCCAGGATGCTGCTCAGTGATCGCACTGGCCCCGATGCCATGAGCATCGTCGCAACCTGAAGTGGGTAACTGAATGCACTCTCTTGCTGCAATGGGAAGAATGAACAAGCTGCTCAATGGGAGAGTCACGGTGTGAAAAATGCTCCTCTCAGCCGATGAATGCCAACATCCAAATGAACAAGTTAAAAAGAATCACAACATTGTTGAAAATTCTCATCGAGCATTGGTTTAAAATGTAAGAATTTAAAAAGGGTTCAATGATTGATGCTGCAGGGTTGTTTTAAACACAAGTCAATGCAGCTAAAATCCATTGTTGTACTGTACTATGCTGCAATGGCTATGTTCCCTTCCTTCACCAACCCATACTAACGAGCAAGGTGAAGTATGGGGGAAATTAACACCCCATGACACACACGGAGTGGAAGATGCTCATCCAATAGACGATTGACATAAAGGCTCTACGTGATCATCCGTGGTTTTTCAACTTCCGCACATAATCGGACACCAAAAGTTGCTGCTTTTCAATAACTCTGATGTATCCAATTGTATTCCTTTACAGAATAGCAATGATAGTTTGCCCAGCTATCCACAAATAACGATGCATAATCTTTTCATACTACTTGTGTAAGTATTTCCAACAAGGATGTGCGGTCTTAGTTGCAAGTAGCAACAAATGTCGTTCATGATAATAAAAAAAAAGTAATCTCACCTGCAGGTCCCTTGTGGTTTTCGCATGGTTATCATAGGCGGCAATATCCACGACCAGTCCTCTTGACCGCTGAAGTAAGTCCGAACTTGACACCAGGATAGAATAGTCGATAGGAAAGCAGTGGATGGGGTAAGGGCAGTGTGTTCCGTCCCATACCTGGGGGAACAAAGCACACGTTCAAGCATCCACCACTGATACTCTTAGTTTTTTTGGTAAAGTCACGTAGGTAAAAAATTAAATAAAAATTAATAAAAATAAAATAATAAAAAATCACGACGTTTCGGAGGCAACACAAGTCTCCGTCATCAGGTGGGGCCGTCACAGCCAGATTTGCTGTATCATTTTTACCTACGTGACTTTACCGAAAAATACTAAGAGTATGAATCCTTGCAGTCACGAAAGCTTCAAATCTACTACATGCACCACTTAAACGGTCACGTGTCCTCCCGGGTCAAACAGAGTGCCCCAGCCCCCCCTTGACCCACTCCCACCTGCCCTCGTTACCCTCACCGTAGCTACACCACCACTTTTAAACTACCACACTCTGTATGTTAACCACTGCCGTCGAATGTACGAATTTATAATGATTTTAAAGCCCCTTGCACAAAGGGACTAATACATCTCCATAAGATAACATTACCTTTTCAATTGTGCAAACCCCTTTGTTAGGAGGGCTTTCTACCTCAAACTTTACAACGACGGGATATTTTTTTTAAACCTAAGATGCTGTATTTAAAAAACAAATATTTCCCCCCCAATGTAATCCACATTGCATGATCGGCGTTATGTTACGATAAAGTACCTACGAAGATTTCTCGCAACCCCTCATCGTAGGAAATGGCTCACGGAAGCGGATGTCGCTCAGCTACCTCTAACATCTCTTCGAGGGATCTCTGAGCCAGTGCAGACCACTCTCAGCTGCTCTGGCACCAAGATTCATGTTTGTCATATGAAAGTCAAACCGATGTTTGATTCTCAGAACTTAAATTTTGCCAAATTAAGAGCAGAACCAAAGTAAATGTGAAGATGTTTTTTTTCGTGCAGTCGTTGGTGACTGTGTTGAGAACCCCCACTAATACAGGGCATGAGGACAATGATACATCACAGGTGTCTGAAACTCGGATTATACCGCAGGATCTCATTGGTGCGAGCCCAGCACTTTGATCTTTGAGCCACCCAGCCACCTCAACTAAATTCATGCCTAAACCTACAGCTAAAGGCCCTGCTGATCACCGGCACCTTGAGAATGGTCGTCCTGTGGTCGACCACGGCCTTGGCCACGAGTTGACACCGAATATCCAGGAACTGGGGTGGCTTGACTTCAGAGAAGCAGACACCGTAGGAGGGTGACACAAAGCGCTCGGACGCCCACTGACGGAGAGCCAGCAGGATCGTGTGGTCCACGGCTGGGTTGAGGTGGTAGTTTTTAGTGGTGGAGGACGGTTCCATTGAAGCGCCCATTTGACCGCTAAACACAAGCGTCGAGAACCCGGGGCTACTGCTGCCCTGCAGCACCCCTTGGTATAGCTGGACCTGCGCAGACGCAGGCACACACGCGGGCGTGAGCAACGATGTCAAGCAAATGAGAAAGCGAGCCGACGTGGGCGCTAACGCGTCGCGGCAGTGCGGACGATTCATTTGGGAATGCGAGCACAAAACACGTGTCGCGGGAACACCACTCTCCAAGCTGTGAAACCTCATTCTGCCGTCCTGTCAAGGTGAGTAAAGTAAATCAGCACCGCGGGCTAAACAACAGCAGCAGCAGCCGGTGCATTCGTTACTAAGTGGTCGTGATGTTACTATGGGGCCTGTGCCAAACTAGGTGCACTTTGAAACCACATCAATTGGCAAATATGGACGTTTGGAATATCTCTCGGGGTGAGGAGGAGGAATAAATAAGTTGAAGCCTCAGCAGGAGTTACTAAAATTCTTCATGTCTGGGAGGTGAAACTGAGAGGGAGATGGAGATGTATAGGACGCGGTGGAATGAGATATGAGGACAGTGGCTGTGAGGCACAGAATAGAAGCTCAGAGGAAGATCTGAGCAGCGAACCCGATGCAATAATGAGACTCTTAGCTTCGTAGATGTAAGTCTACGGATCTCTATGTAAGTGAATCTGCCTCTATGTAAGTCTGTATCTGTAGTGGACTATTGTAAGCCTGTGGTTCTGAATGTAAGTCTACACATCTCGATGTAAGGATAGCAGATGTGACGAGAGAAGAGGCGCAGAATAGACGCGCATGGAGAAAGAAAATCTGAGCAGCAAACCACATGCAAGAATGGGACTTTTTGGTTAGAACAAAATTATAAAGTGGCAAAGGCTCTCTGGCAGGGGAGTCATGGGACACATCCGGATTTTATGGGTTCATTTAGCTACAGTGACAGAAAAACCCACGACCAGCACCCTTCACTATGCCAGCTTACTACGTATGCCTGTGCAAGCGAGCACAACAAACATGCTCACAAGCTCACAGACCAAAATACCATTCTACACCCAATTTACCATCGAAAGCAGAAGGTGCTTATTTAACTCCAAGCTTTGCATAGCCCAGGTCTGGCACAGCAGCTTGTGCTCAAGCTATGCAACCTCGAGAGGCCAAGTCTCCATTATCAGAACTCAAACTAGAAACAAAGCGACACTGACAACAACGTTTTTTTTGCCGTGTGGCTTAAGGGATTTAGAGAACACTTAACCGACAAAGCAACCTGTAAAAACAACTATTCCTCTCGGAGGGCACAAAGTATTTTCACGAGATCAGTTAAGCGCCAGTAAGCGTGTAACTAGACCGTACTTAAACAACTTGTGGGCACGAAGCATCGCCTCTTCGTGTGCATTTAGGTAACCGAGCATGTGGAGGACATTTATCCCCTCCAGCCAAGGCAAACACCCGTGTGTGTGTGTGTGTATACACAACCCTACCAACAAATACAAAAAAATGCAATGTAAATGTGTTAAATATGAAACTGGTATAGCCCACAAGACTTAGTCATGTGAAAAGGACTAATGACCTTTCTGATGTATTACCATCTCCCGAGTACCTCACAACCTAAGCTTACAATATCTAATATTATTCCCAGAAGTCTCCCAACAAAGCACTAATCAGCGCTTTCAGAGACACGTGGTCGTCTTTGTGCCGCACACCTTGAGCCTGTGCATCCTCACGATGTCTCCGACGCGTGTGACCTGTGGCAGCTGCTCAGGATGGCCAAACAGCATGCACCGGAGCCCATGCTCCGGCTTGCTCTGGTCTACCAGCGACAGTATCATGAAGTGATCTGAGGACAGATAAGACGGCAGTGAATTTAACACGTAGGCTTTCGCGACCAATATTATTCATAATATAGGTTTTTGGGTCAGATCGCGTTATTCATAAATGTGTCGTAACCCTCCACCACCCGACACAGCAGTGAACTTTTGTTTAGTCTTACATTTATTTTTATTTGTTACATGGATTATCCTTTTTAGTCAACTGCCCGGCTATTTTACGAGGGAGATCCGTGGTGCGTAAGTACAGCAGCAACATAAGACAGAACATCAATATTTCCTGTAATTAATTCTATTGGATGTCAGCATGATTTTGCTGTCAGCAATGCAGAAAAGGCGGATGGTCAAGAATATTGGTATCCCACACACTGGATGAAATGTATCTGGGAGGAGATGGAACCGATGAAATCAGCTCGCGTGCAGGTCGATTGTTATATAATGGGGTCGCGCTTTGTAAGCCCTTCAACTAAGCAGTTGACCAAGTGTGGCTGATGGTGATGAAGCTACACGCATACAAATATTCCCTATAACTGTACATTTTGGCAATACAATGTAATCTCTTACCCCAGTGCATAATGGATTAAGAAGAATGTGGCTCACAAACAAGCCTAATGATGAGGCATGCAAGGATACACATAATTTAAAATCGTTTCGTGAGGCCATATCAATCAATTGTGCATTTCATGAATCAATTTACGTTTTCTGAAATTATACGCAATTATGTGCTAATGTTACGCTTAGAGAGCCAATGGAGAGGCAAAGAAGACGGTGACTATGGGACACGAAAAATAATCGATTCTTAAACCCTTAATCGTGACAATTATTGTCATTGTGGGGGAGGATGATATTTATGGGTTTTTTTGCACTTGAAGCACAGTGGACCAGGAGCTTGGATTGAATCTGTGATGGTACCCTGACTGTGTATTTGCCTCCTGGCTCTTAGGCTCAACTATAATTAATGACATGGAAAGGGAAACTATTATTTTATTTTCAACAAGACAGTTATATTCTTGTTTCTTTCGGTAAAGTCACGTAGAAGGGAAATCATTAAAATAAAACAATACATTTGGATTATTTCCCTTCTACGTGACTTTACCGAAAGAACCAAGAATACGAATCCCTCCAGTCACGAAAGCTTTAAATCGAAAGACAGTTATACTATCTCCGAAACATATTTTATTTGTTTGCAAGGTGACTTGGGTTTTATTCAGCCTTAATTTATTCAACAAATGATTCAGCTCTGCTTGGGAGCAATTTGCATCGAATTAATTCAACAGAAACAGTATGACCAAGCTTGGGATGTGAACCTGGCAAGGGATTTTCACTAATTTTCCTAACTGGAACAATTTGCGTAATTTTATCTGGTTGCAGCCAATAAAATCAGCAAATGTAAGATTACGAACAAAACGTACTTAAGTCTTTACATCTTTAAACTTTCTGAAATGAATGGTAAATTGATTTTAGCATTTTAAAAAGTACTTTTCAATAACAATCAACATTAACATACAACATAAAGCCTATGACCCAATTGCAGACAGTTTAACTTTATGAGGAGTGTAATTTGTGCAAGTCGATTAAAGTATTCTCTTGATGGAATATAACAAAAAAATAACTGCATTGTGAGAATAGGTTTCCCCCTTTTTTATGGCAACAAAACAGATGTTAAGATGCTAAAACACCAAACTGAAACCTTTAATCAAGGAATCATGTCTGCATTAACCACAAAAAACATAATATATGCATTGTCTTTGAAACTGATTGGTCCACACCAAAGACAGCTTTCTTTGGAGCCTAGTCTCAAAAGGTGTTAGAGCAGAGGATGCCTTTTGGCATCTTAACACCTGTTTTTTTGCCAGAAAAAAGGGGAAAATCTATTCTTATATTTTGTTACTGACAAACGTGGTCCCATGAAATAACTGCATTATTAGACAAAGCTTAAATAACTTTATATTATCAGTTAATGGCTGTCCTTAAGAAATGCTTCTTAAGAATAACTCAATCTATTTGAATAACATAACAAGCTCTAATATACCATGCAGCAAAATTTCCGTAGTAGTACCAGCAACCGCTAATGAAACCAGAATCTTGCCCAATCAATTGTACTTACTGAAGCGTGGAGTTATATTCAGTGGCCCATGTCTTATTACTGCCTCACCTAATTTAATATTTTGCATTTAATTAAGTCAAACGGCACGCATCTGGAAAGCCCCGAGTCAAAGTGTGAAAACAGCTCCTAAATTTAACACCCGCCTTGGCCGCTCTGTTAGCCCACAGGGCCGGAACCTCAAGTGCCGCAAAACTGTCAAGAGCGGGGTGGGTGGGTGGGGAGGCAGCCAAATTAAACGACAGTGTCAACTACATTTTCAGAGCGCTACCACGAGTGAGTGTACGAACACGAGCCCCGTTTAAACATTAGGTGTGTCGCGCGAGGCTCCGACAAAGTCCAAAATGTTAACTTGCGCCGCCAGGAAGAGCATCTTCATTGGTAATAGCGCTGGAAGATATACAACGTAAAGCTCCGTGACCCAATTCCAGATTTACTTGGTGAGAGAAGTGTAATTAATGTATACCACAAAGATATATATTTTATGTATCTAAATATATTACATGCATATAATATATAATAAATATAAATACATGTAATATATATGTCAATATATTAATATATTTAACGAAAATATTTTTTATTTTGCACAAAAAAACATCAACTGTGAGAAATCAGCGCCAAGTTCACCCGTGGTTCGTCCTGTATTCTGGCAGCTGTTGAAATAAAGATTATTTTAAAAAATGTATTTAAAAAACCTAAATAAACATTCGTATTTTCATTGAGATGTATAAATTACCCAAAATAGGTTTCCAGCCAGTTTGGAAACCAAGAAAACAACGGTAGATCTGGGTGACTTAAACCAAAGCACAGATTGTACCAAAAACCTTACATAACGCCTTCCGAGTGTTCTGGGCTGAAAGCTACAGTGTACAATGGTTGTTAAGAGTGTGTTTGGGGGGCTCAGCAAAGACGAGGCTGAGCGCAATTATGACACGAGCATGCATGGATTTTTGGCTTGCCTGTGCCGTTTGTGGATGTCGGAGGCCTGAAGAACTTGACAGCAGCATAGACGTTCACCACCATGCCCTCTCGAATCTTGTCGATGGTGACGTATGTGTAGCTTACATCCGAATTCTGTCGGCAAAAGCAACAAAAGCATCATGACGAGACACGAAAGGTTTTGATAGGAAAAAAAAAATCCTCCAGCATTTTCCCTACATTTTCATCGTTGTTCATATCACCGGCTCACACACAGCATCCTGCAGTGCTTCGTAGGCTGCTATGTCCTATTGCCATCGCTGTCTGCCTAAGCTGTTGTGATGTCAAAGAAATTAACATCTACATGACCACTCGGCTAGTTTTTCAGGGTAGTATTACTGCAGGACTAGCAATATGTAATGTAGAGTCATTATAGCAGCATGCCTGCCGGACGGTTTTTTTGATCAATGGGCCCTACCCTGGATGAACAAAAATAAACTAAACAAGGCTCATGAGATTCACTAAAGCTAACCAATAAACGTTCACAATGGAGCAAATTTTATTGATTACAATGATTGTTTGATTTATATTGTGCTGTGTTGGAAGAACACCAACTGAAGGATTTAAAATCGTACAGTTCTATCGTCTAGATCAGGGGCCGGGAACGTCCAGCCCGCGGGCCGTATAAGGCCCATGAATTCATTTGGTGTGGCCTTGCCAAGGCAACCGTAGGCGGGACTCGAAATTCAATAAATCTAGGAGCAAATCTGGAAAAGCAGTTGCGAGTAGCAACATCATCAATACCAGCTAACATCACACACCTCACCAAAGAGAAGCAGTTCCAGCCATCACATTAGGGGTGAGTTAGTTGATAATTTTGTATGGCCCACGAATGATGTTATAAATATCCAAATGGCCCTTGGCAGAAAAAAGGTTCCCCACCCCTGGTCTAGATAATAAAAATAATTGCTTCTTATGACGTTAAGTTAATGCAAGATTTCTCACAATATACTCCAATATTATCTCCCTGAATGTGGGGGTTACGTGCCTGGAAAATGCTGTGTTGGGTAAAACCACGTTCAACAACTAATGGTCCTCATGGGAAAAACAGGGTTGCATTCCTTGGTCTGAAATTATCATCTTCTCCCTCTTTGTTTAACTTATAATTTTACAGGATTATCACAAGTAAAAAAAAAACGTACACATAACATGCTTGGAATTAAAATAAATTTGGGACGTAAAATGAACCAAAAAAAGTTAAACTGAAAATGTTTATTTTACTTACGGTGAATAATGGTGAAAAGAATGTTGATGGGGGTGTTAAGGGGGGCTTACGAATGGAGCGACACTGCATGAGAGGGAAGATGGCCAAGAGATATTAATCTGCAGCATCTACAAGCGGACCCCGCACTACTCTTTGCTGCGGAGATGAGTCTTATCAGCGCCAAACCGCATAGAGCCAAAACATCACCGCCATGTTCCAGAAAACGTACCTCAACGAGTAAACCGTGCATAGCTGAAACGCGCTTTCCATAAAACAGCATTTGGCAAGGTATGAATGCATAACGTTAAAATATTTTCACAATACTCCAACTCACCATGAATATAATTTGATTTTTGTAAATATAAACGCAGACTACTTAAGAATTTACATGCCAGAGTAAAGGCTGTATGTAATGTCTCGCAGTCACCGACTTTGCACAGCAGCATACCTTGGCTTTCCTTTTGGTCGGCGGACTCGAAACGTCTGCATTATTCACAAGTGTTGTGGAAGACGTGGGTGGAGATGTCTAATGGAAAGATTAACTCATTACATTTCAGTGAAACATTTTTTTTCCAGCAGTCGACATATCACACAGTCTACACGGTGGAATGTATCAATTTGCTGAGCACATCTCAAATATACATTTCATTTGCACTGCTGAAGGCCTCCCACCAATATGGGATTGACCATACTTCACCACTTGTACAAGTGCGAGTTGCTGAAGGAAGGAGAAGGAGGGGGCCCAAGACCAGTTAAGATATCACTGATGTTACCCATGGGCGAAATATTGAACGCATATCGCCGGGTTCATAATGTAGCACCCGAACCACTGCACCGCCGCCTCACCAGTAACAAATGTCGAATAATGTAATCGCACATTTTGGTTTGAATCAAAGTTAAAAGTGCTACGTGCGGCCTCGGCTCTCACCCAGATGCAGGAGCAGTCGTCATTGCTGAGCTCCAGCTGCAGACGGTGGCGCCCATCTTTATTTGCATGTGGCGACTTGTCCACTAAGAACTCCGACAGGGCCACAACGTCCTGGTGCCCAAAACACACGGCGGTCAGACGGGTGGCAATGTGCCACGCGCAGTGGCCTTGACAACTGCCGCGTTTACAAAAGTGTGCGTTTCATAGGGCGCTTGTAAGGCATGTAATGCCAGTTGAATTACAATTCTTAAGCTCACAATACAAAGCGTCAAAATTGCGTCAGACAGCTTGGTAATACAGTATAGGTATTTAAAAGGTATATTTTTTGGTCATTGCTTTTAAGGGCAACTATGCCACTCTCAAAAATCCACAACCATTTGTCGACAACTATGAATATGCTTTAAGTTCCTCTTTGTTCTTCACATGACACCTTTCAGCACTCTTGCATTTGAAATAATCACCCAAAATGCACTTTTGAACCTGAATAGTGCTTGGGATAGGTGACTACCATGCACAAAAAAGTGTTGTAGGCTGCTGCGGGGCTACATTTGGCTGAGGGAAGTGTGGTAAAATCCACTGTTCACCTTCACCAATCTGTACTGAGAACTATGATTCAGTATGATCAAATAACCTGCATCACAAAAGTGGAGTACATGTACGTTATTTTGTGAACGCACCCCATCATTCAAAGCTTTGTCACTCTCAAGGGCCAGACTTCCAAAGATGAACACATTCATGGCTTTTCCATCAGCCGTTGAAGGTCCGGCATCATCTGAAAACATCACAAAGCATGAGAGAAGCAAGCTTATGTTTACGTATATAGAGTATAGCATTACAGGATTTACTGAGCAGATAGTAGAGCTGTTCATTACAAAGGCTTGATATTTTACCCAGAGCTATTTTAAAGTCACTTTTTATTAGGTGCGTGTAATGATGTGGTTGAGCGCAGAGGAAAATGCAAAAGTGGCACATTTGAAGGCTAACTCAAGCACGACACAATAAAGCAAATACCATTTTCTGCAATATTCCTAACAGGCAAGTGTCTGGATAAGGAAACTTTTGGCCACATCCATGAAGTTCGCATAAGCTCAATTTGCCCGAGGGTAATTGAATATATCGCAATACCACATTGTGAGAGAATATTACCATACTTAAATTTAATATGCGTATTTGTTTTTCTACAATACAAGCTATATGTAAATATATTTCTGTGTATTCATAGATAAGAGTATATGGCATGGCGTATGATGAAATCTGGGATTTTTTTTCCCTTTATAAAAGTAGGACAGCGAACACCTTACATGTTAGTTTACGTGTTAAAATAACGAAAAAGTAAGACTTCTCCACAAATCTGGCTGTCGCCTGATGAAGCTAGTTGTAATTACTGGCGAAACGTCGTACTCAGTTTGTAAATGGTGTGGCTTGGCTCTCCAACACACCGGTGTTGTGCTGTACTAGTGACAAATTGGCACGTTCTGTTTACGTGACAACCCTTACTAGTTGGCTGTGTCAGGTGGTGGTGGGTTTTAACGACACATTCATATATTTATGCGATCTAACCTAAAAAAAAAACTCTATTATGGACCTTACACGTTAACTTAATTGTATCGGCTTGTGTTGTGAATTGCAATTTTCGTACACACCTTCCTCCAAGACCACTTTGATTAGTTTAGTATTCCCAGTGATCAGCGGAAACCTCTTGCAAATTCGCCCCTGTGCGCAGGCAAAGCAGAAATATGCGTCAAACAGTCGTCATGCACGTCCTTGAGAGTTGATGCAATCGGTAAAAACAAGACAAGGTCAATGAGCATTGCACTGTGCTGTGCAGGGTAAGGTGCTGCTGTTCAAACAACCTTGACATAGCGGTTGTCTCTAACTTTGCCAACATCGAGATCACGAAAGTATATCCGCTTCAGTCCTGGAGGGCAGTGGTGATCAGGTAAACTCGTGGCTGGCAAGGGTTTCACCGGCATTCTGTGAGGTACACAAACCACAAAAGTGAACAGTTACAAGCAAGCGTGCAACAGATGTTCAGTATTTAGTAAATAGCTGATTAGCGAGTCGAGATAGCCAAGTACTTCATTACATAAGAACATAATGTGATGAATCTATATGGGGTCTCATATGGCTTCCTTAGCTCTCGACTAAATACAATGACTCTCATTTCACACATGCTTAAATACATTAACCTGCATTTAATAAATGTTAAATTAACACTTAAGGTGTTCTTAAATTGTTTAGTAAAAATACATTTCGTGGAATAGCATCTGAATGGGCTCTCCCCAGGTTAAATAAAGAAATGAGCATCATTTTTTTTAGGGTTCCCACCTGCTAAAATAAAGGACATGATGATCTCAGCATAACGGTGGTGTGTTCGTGGTTAGCACACTGGGCTTGCAATCCAGTGGTAATAAACACACCGGTAATCGGTTCGTAGTTTTAAATGAGTTTCTTAAATCGTTCCTGCCCGCCCACTGTGCATCAGTAGTATAAACGGGTACATCGCAATCTTGGATTTGAAGCTTTCGTGACTGCAGGAATCCACACTTTTTGGTTCTTTCGGTAAAGTCAGTCATGTAGGTAGAAACAAAATAAAACGAATCACGACGTTTAGATCGCAACACAAGCAATCCTCATCAGGTGGGGTAAAGCGTGGGATACTCCCACATCCTTCAAAACGTCTGGCCAGCGTCGAAGAGCAGATCAGCTGGAGTTATCTCTGATGCATGCACTTAACATTTCGAGTTTCAACGCTACTTTGTTATACCAGGCGAGAACTCAACAAGAGGGCAGGTTCAGTCGAAGTTTAAAGACAGACCTGGGGCATTAGCCTGCAAGTGGGGTGAGAGGGTTATTGTTGCCGTGGTTAATCCCGGACCTCCAATTAGCACGGTTGGCTACGTACGGTGACAAAGAATTTCAACAGTACATACAACCGAACAAATTGCGGTGTAGTTTTCGAATTTGGCCTTATCCCTGTGATTGACTATTATATCCGCAAATATAAGCAGGGCGGCCTTGCTGTACGGTAATTCGTGACGTTTTTAAAAAAAATTAAGGACCACCCCGTCTGGGATTCACCAGGCGTACATACCTGTCAACCCCTTATCGGTGCCCTCTCTACCTTATGACAGACCAATTGAGACATAATTGGTCAATTCACGTAGGTAGAAAATAATAAAGTAATTGATCTTTCATTTATTATTTTTTACCTACGTGACTTTACCGAAAAAACCTAAGAGTATGAATCCTTGCAGCCACGAAAGCTTCAAACCTAGAAATAATTGGTCAACCCCGTGTCCCATATCAATGTCAACGTTCACCCTATAAGCCCCATCGCAAGGGAGAAACACAATCAAACAAACTACATTTTCAAAACAACATTTCCCTGTACAAGAATACGGGTAAACAGTACGGGTTGACAGGTATATTGCGGCTCTTAAAATATAATTATAGAAGAAAAAAAATATAACTCGTGTTGTTGTTATCTTGGTTGCAGACCTCCTGGGCTAGGCCAAGTCACCGCGCGTCGGACCAACGGTGGCGTGAGTGAAGCAACGCCCCCCCCCCCCCCAAGGCACCCCTCTCGATCTGTTGTTAAGACGTTGTTGTTATTACTCAACCTGTTTAGTGATCTCGGTGAGGCGGGGGGGGCCCCGTCGGGATGAGTGAGAGGAGGAGGCGGCCTCGCCTGTACATACAGCAGCCTCCCAACGCGAGCAGCCGCGCCTGCGACGTTTAATATGCTGCGTCCACCGCTGAAACGCGTCGCAAGCGAGCGAGCGGGCGATCTTGAAGCGTGCTTTACACGACAGAACAAGACGTTAAGAAACTGAAACAAAAATCAACGAAAGCTCGTCACGGTAATGATTATTAAAAGAAGAATTTCGCGCGCAATTTAAATCGTCGCCAAGCGAGAATTAAACGACTTGTTGTTCGTACGGTGGCCCCCACGCGGACAGTCATCGCTCGCTTCAATTTCCAAACGCGTTCTTGTTGCACGCGCGGTGGTCCAGATGTCTTGTGACCCCGAATTTTATTCCATTAAAATAAAGTTTATTTTACAAAATTACTATGCAAGGGGGGGGGGGGGGGGAATGTGCAAAGAGGACATCGCAGGACTGCGAGGAATTGCAATGACTTAAGGAGGTCTTCGCCCAGCAGTGGATTGACCATGGATGATGACGATGATGACAATGATGTCAATGATGATGATGATATCGGCTAAGTGGAACCCAGCCCAACGATCTAAAAAAATTGTGAAATCAGATAGGAAAGATATACTTTTTTCTCCACTGTCATTCTAATAATATTGAAACCAATAATTAACAGGAATAGAGGCCAGCAGAGATGTTATTCTCCCTGATGACCTCTAAGCAGGGAAAACCCAGGACACAATGTCTTATTGCTTTCATGCCATGAAATATAAATAAAAACTGTGTTACACAGCGCTATACAGTGAATACATTCTAATACTGGGAATTTATGATATTTAACACGGTTGGCTACGTACGGTGCGAAAGAAGTTAAACATTCATACATGCATATAACAGTTATCCTTTTACTGGTAGGAACCTCTGGTTACACCAGCCCACAGGGGATTATTATGTCCGTCCGTCGTGCAGGGAGGGGCTGGGTGGGGAGGGAGGGGCTGGGTGGGGAGGGTGGGGAGGGGCTGGGTGAGGAGGGTGGGGCTGGGTGGGGAGGGGCTGGTCACCCCGTGGTACCCTTATAAAACTCAACGTTTCACCTACTCACGCCGGCTTGTGCCCGCCCTCACAGTCGGGCATATTTGCGGAATACACCACGCCGCCGTTGACCCTGGCCATTGACCGAGCAACCCAACGTTCCTACCAGCTCCCTCCGCAGGAATGTGTTTAAAATCATCAGCCATGGACAATCCGCTTCCGGATGAAGGCCTCCCCAATCCACCTCCACCATGTCGTGTTTCTGAAATGCAATAATCCATCCGAGAATTTGCCCACCCGTTGATTTAATAGCTTCATCTCTTCGGTTGTACATCCTGTTGGATGTTCTTCTAATATTTCACCTCAGGCACACATTGTTAGGTGCATGCAAATTGCATCAGGAATTGGTACAATTATGCTAATTTAATATTATAGTGCAGTGTTTGCTTGTTTTTTTTGTTACGACATCCTCTGCTATGATCGCTCACGAAAACACAAATATGCCCTCTGCATCCGCCGCAAGACCTAACGTTCTTTTTTTTTAAGCTCTATTGAAATTATTTATCTGAAGCACGCCTCTAATGGGACACATTTGTACTTCGCAGCTGGAAGTGAAACCTTGTGTGGGTGGTGTGCAAACTAATTCACGTGTCAGAGGCTAATTGGATATTAGGGCTTGCGATCCATTTGCCTGGATACGTATTAATAAACTGTAATAATACAATCAAGTCGAAAAAATACGATGATACGGCGCGTTAATATCACACGGGGGGGGGGGGGGCTATACAATTACATTGTGCAAAAGAATTGTGCGTTATTAATTACGCACAATCAATGTGGAGGGACGCGGTATTTCGTATATCAATCAACTGCAATTAGCCGTGCATTTCCCCCACACACCTGTGTAGTGGTTAATGGATGAAAAATTAAACGCGCACACACGCGACAGTGTTTGATGTTTAACACGTGGACCTCACCGACCAATACTATGATACACGGAGTAAAATGTGTGTCGTACACCGTCCACCACCCGACACAGCCAATCAATATAACGAGAGATATATTGGTATGTGTATGCGAGTCTATGGATCTCCATATTTGTCTATGGGTATATTGTGTGAGTATGGCTTTCTGTGTGAGTCTATAGATTTCCGTATTAGGCTATAGGTCTCTATGTGAAGACAGTAAGTGTGTTCCTGTGTGCGCCTTTGTCTTTGAATGTCTTTGGGGTTATCGTAGCCGTGATGATGAACAATCGTACCGATTTATTGCTTCAGCGTTCCACACGCATTTCACAATTCGGCACGCACGTGTATGTTGAACTTTTTTCGCACCGTACGTAGGCCAACCGTGCTAATCGGAGGTACGACAACCAGCATAGTCGTGAAGTTGTCACCAAGGACAGCAGGCGAGGAGGCCACCCATGTGATTGCCTTGCTGTCTCTCAGTGGTGTAATTCAAAGCCAGCGCTTCGCATTACCTTTTGATGTTGGTGATGCACTTATTGCAGACTCTAGGCTGTAATTTCGTAGACTCGCTGCAGGAATTTCGCGTGCAGCATTTTTAGGTGGATGGGTGGGGGGGACAGAAAAAGTGCCCATGTGGTTATTACTAAGGATCCCAAACATTCGGTATAAAATGATAATAATTTACAGTCTTTTTGTCAATGCGCTGCTGCATTGAAAGCCTTCCCATGCAGTTGTTGGTCTATCCAGTTGTTTGGCCACACCTCACCGTGATAGGTATTTTGAGCAGTGTGGGGATGGTGGCTATAAACACATTCCTGCGGAGGGAGCTGGTAGGAACGTTGGGTTGCTCGGTCAATGGCCAGGGTCAACGGCGGCGTGGTGTATTCCGCAAATATGCCCGATTGTGAGGGCGGGCACAAGCCGGCGTGAGTAGGTTAAACGTTGAGTTTTATAAGGGCACCACGGGGTGACCAGCCCCATCCCCACCCAGCCCCACCCCTTCCACCCCCCACCCAGCCCCACCCTCCCCACCCAGCCACTCCCCCCCACCCAGCCCCTCCCCACCCTCCCCTCTCCACCCAGCCCCACCCCTCCCATTTTTGGATGCACGACGGACGGACGGACACAATAATCCCCTGTGGGCTGGTGGAACCACGTGGTTCCTACCAGTGCTGGGCTATGGCTCGGAATCTAATTCAGGTTGATGGGTCCAGAACGCGGTGCACAAACCACTGTGGTACCAATCCAGATTTGAAGTTTTCGTGACTGCAGGGATCCATACTCTTTGGTTATTTTATAGCGACGTGACTTTACCGAAAGAACCAGAGAGCACTGTGGCACCACTCGACAGCATTCAGTCTAAAGTATACTGCAGTGCTGTGAAACAGCGTATGCACAGTGTGAAACGGAATTGTAAAATAGCCATTTATCACACTGGGGCAGCGGTAAAAGCAATACAAATTATGGTTCCTAGAGAATTCAGTTCGTGGCAGCATGGGTGGCCCAATGTGGGTCCCTGTGGGAGACAGCCATTCATCACACCTAACAGCTTAGTTTAGGGTTGACGGGTCGGAATCGGCTGACTGCCTTAACCTGTATACACACAAAAAAAAACACAGACAAATATCCCCTGTACAGACTTAACAGACTTTTGGTTAGCGAGCACCAATGAAGGCCGGAACGGCACATGAGAGGGTGGGTGGCCAGAACCACGCCCGACTGCCTTTGTTTCCCCAGTGGCGATGTTTTTACACACTGCACCATGTACTCATTTGAGGCTGAATCGACCTAGGGGAGGCCCAGGAACGGTTCAGATAATCGATCGTCACTGGTATTGGCCGTGATCAGGAATTGTACTTGGGTCGCCAGGTTTGTAGCGCAGTGCGCTAACCGCTACACTACCACTCCCTACTTTATACACACATATTCAGGGTTCTTCAAAAAAATGTTAACACTTACATGGGACTATCATTTTTAATGGAAAAAGAATGAATAATGCACTGTAACATGATAACAAATGTATGTTAATAGCCTCAAAAAGTCAAAGAGTCTCTGCTTTTTCGCCAACGTTGTCAACACGTGCCTGGAATCTTCTCCAGGTGGTCTCCAGAGCTTGGAGGCCCATTTCTTGTGGTGTTGTTGCAAATTCTCATAAGTGTTAAACATTTTTTAAAGCACCCTGTATATACACACGCACACACACACATAAGCTGACTCATGGATACATCAATGGAGTCTGCGAAGGTGACACTTGGTCCAGCTGATTTGGTTGATTGGCAGGGTCGATGTCGTGTTCATCAACACATTCCTGCGGAGGGAGCTGGTAGGAACGTGTTGGGTTGCTCGGTCAATGGCCAGGGTCAACGGCGGCGTGGTGTATTCAGCAAATATGCCCGACTGTGAGGGCGGGCACAAGCCGGCGTGAGTAGGTTAAACGTTGAGTTTTATAAGGGCACCACGGGGTGACCAGCCCCATCCCCACCCAGCCCCACCCCTTCCACCCCCCACCCAGCCCCACCCTCCCCACCCAGCCACTCCCCCCCACCCAGCCCCTCCCCACCCTCCCCTCTCCACCCAGCCCCACCCCTCCCATTTTTGGATGCACGACGGACGGACGGACACAATAATCCCCTGTGGGCTGGTGGAACCACGTGGTTCCTACCAGTGCTGGGCTATGGCTCGGAATCTAATTCAGGTTGATGGGTCCAGAACGCGGTGCACAAACCACTGTGGTACCAATCCAGATTTGAAGTTTTCGTGACTGCAGGGATCCATACTCTTTGGTTATTTTATAGCGACGTGACTTTACCGAAAGAACCAGAGAGCACTGTGGCACCACTCGACAGCATTCAGTCTAAAGTATACTGCAGTGCTGTGAAACAGCGTATGCACAGTGTGAAACGGAATTGTAAAATAGCCATTTATCACACTGGGGCAGCGGTAAAAGCAATACAAATTATGGTTCCTAGAGAATTCAGTTCGTGGCAGCATGGGTGGCCCAATGTGGGTCCCTGTGGGAGACAGCCATTCATCACACCTAACAGCTTAGTTTAGGGTTGATGGGTCGGAATCGGCTGACTGCCTTAACCTGTATACACACAAAAAAAAACACAGACAAATATCCCCTGTACAGACTTAACAGACTTTTGGTTAGCGAGCACCAATGAAGGCCGGAACGGCACATGAGAGGGTGGGTGGCCAGAACCACGCCCGACTGCCTTTGTTTCCCCAGTGGCGATGTTTTTACACACTGCACCATGTACTCATTTGAGGCTGA